AGTATCCCCCTTGGGTAACTTTAGTCACTACATCCCCCTCCCATTCGGCCTTGACTAAACCAAGTTTATACGTGACTTTGCCGAGATAAGAGTCTTTATCGCTCTTTATGGTTAACTAATAGTAATGAAAAGTGTTGTAATTGAATTAAGGCTCTTAGTTAACCAATAGAAAGCGGACAGTAACCTCCAGGACACTCAGGCCTGCCACATTTTCCGATCTCCCCCAAACCACTATCGATTTCTTCAGCAGCCCGTGTAAAGAAAAAGTTGAGATGGCAAAAAGGGATCTTGACACTATACAAGAAACGACTTAGGGGCTTAGGGGGGGGGGTGTTTCCGACCAAAAAAGCTATCGATATCGGTGACCAATTCAAACAGAAAATGGCAACTCTGTGGAGTAGCAAATCCAAATTATTCAAGAAATTGAAATATTTCGCAATTTAATATTTCAAAACCCTCGATTTGCATAAAAACAGTATACTAAAAGTACTCATTGCTGAAATTTTAGAATTATCTTAAATTCAAGATTTGGGTGTGGCCATTTTGAATTTCAAGGACACAAATCACAAATGAGATATAAATGTGATCTGCTTTTAAATGCCTTAGCTTTCAGTACAATGAAGCCATTCTTTGGATAGAGATCCTACTTATTGTGAATTCTTCCATTATGTGATCATTTTAGATTTTCCAAAGCGCAAATCAGAAAAGGAGACGATAATTGTGATTAATAGTAAACTACCTTCGATTTAAGTAAAATATAGCCATACTCTGCGAATTACCATATCAGGTGGCCATTTTCAGTGCCCCGATTCAGAATTTTTTTAATCTACTCTAAAATGTCCTTCATTTGAGTATAGTTAAGTCATATATTGCAGAGATCTCAAGATCACCTGCTCTCTCGACCCACGTACAAGACCCCGGGCTGAGCCGAAACATATGAAATATTTGTGCAAAACAACAGATATATCCATTACTTTATTTGAAAAAAATAAGAAACTATGTTTTCGAGAAAAATTCCATTCGAGGCCATTTTGGAAAACGGTACAATCTTTTGCAAAAATACTCTAAAATGCCGTTCATTTAAGCGAGGCCATTTTGGAAAACGGTACAATCTTTTGCAAAAATACTCTAAAATGCCGTTCATTTAAGCGAGGCCATTTTGGAAAACGGTACAATCTTTTGCAAAAATACTCTAAAATGCCGTTCATTTAAGCGAGGCCATTTTGGAAAACGGTACAATCTTTTGCAAAAATACTCTAAAATGCCGCGTTCATTTAAGTTTACTATCTCAAAATGAAAGAAACATTCTGTTTTGGGACCCAAGAAGGACGAACGGAAAGCTTCATCTTTATTATCGTTGGGACCTTACATTTATTATTTTTTTCGAAAAATAATTGATGTTATGAATTCACTTGGAATGACATTAAATTATATGGTTCACCATACATGGAAGTTCTATGACCGTACAAAAATTAAGCATTTATTATTGGCTAGATATAATTCTTTCCGCTTGTCCTGTGAAAGTATGACGAATTGTGAGACAGTGTCAAAGCGCACATTAACCCCACAAAAGCCTGTGTTAAATTAAGTAACAAGAGGATCAATCTACTGAATTAATTTGTTTACGAAGGAAATATGCAATTCATGTGTTATATTTTTAGCCCTTGTGTATTTGCTGAGGTTGATTGTTTTTCATCCTGTTTGATTCGTTCGACAGACTAAGCATACAAACCATCAGTCTGCTGATTGTCATATTTGTCATTGTGAAGGATATAGTTCTGAGTAAGGACATTAGCGGTGATTAGTGATTTGGTTTTCTGAATAAAAAGTCATTTTCTCCTTCCCTACCCCATTGGAGCGCCATCTGGCGTTTGGGAAGTGAATCGGGACTAAATATTTACAGGTTAGGTCCTAATTTATCTGAAAACATGTCAGAGTTCAGTGGGAAATCTCATTTTAAGCTGGCGGCGGAGTGATTTTGACCTTGGTGATTTTACCAGAATTCTCTGAGAAATCTGACGATAGAGGGGGTTAGTGTCTTCAAGTTTATTTATTTCAAAAATTCGGTGGACAACCCATGGTAAGATTGTTATAGCAGGCTAGGCGAGTCTCTCCCGAACACTGTGGTATGTTGCACTAGGCTTGGATACTAATCGTTAATAAGATACAGGGTAAAATGTTATAATGGCCACCTATGGGAAACTCTACTGTGGTCTTCAACCTAATAGAAGGCGCTTTTTGGGGGCATTTAGAAGGTTTTATCCCTTTTTGAGGTTTTTTAGTTCATTGAGAAGCCTTATAGCGCATATCATATTAAAGGGCTGTATCTTAGCTGAACAATGCTATCAAAATCGTGACATTTTGAAGCAATTTTGGTGTTTTGGGGGCGAGGCAACTGTGCCAAGTACCCCGAATTCCATTCTCCCGTGCCATTCAATTGTTTTCGGGGCAGTTTTGAATGAACCTTTGTTTCTTCCTACCAATATGACGTCATAAGATGCAATCGAACGCCTTGGCATGGATATCACTTGAAAGATAGTAGAAATCGCTTTCCAATGATACCCCATATGGCCATGTTCACCTCAGTTGGGTGTACTCAATCTGTGATGCAATCTGTGAGGTGTAGCCCTACCCCAAAGAAATTTCAAGAAATCTCAAAATCAAATTTCCTGAATTTTGCTAAAAGGACCTGTGTCTATAAAGACTGAATTTTCCTCCGTGCATTTTCTCAAATATAGGATTGTTATATACCATTGTGATCGGGATAATGCCTACAATGCTAATATAACCATGTTGGAAGAAAACAAACTAATTCAGTTTACTATTAGGATATAGTTCTGAGTAAGGACATTAGCGGTTACCGTTAGTGATTTGGTTTTCTGAATAAAAAGTCATTTTCTCCTTCCCTACCCCATTGGAGCGCCATCTGGCGTTTGGGAAGTGAATCGGGACTAAATATTTACAGGTTAGGTCCTAATTTATCTGAAAACATCTCAGAGTTCAGTGGGAAATCTCATTTTAAGCTGGCGGCGGAGTGATTTTGACCTTGGTGATTTTACCAGAATTCTCTGAGAAATCTGACGATAGAGGGGGTTAGTGTCTTCAAGTTTATTTATTTCAAAAATTCGGTGGACAACCCATGGTAAGATTGTTATAGCAGGCTAGGCGAGTCTCTCCCGAACACTGTGGTATGTTGCACTAGGCTTGGATACTAATCGTTAATAAGATACAGGGTAAAATGTTATAATGGCCACCTATGGGAAACTCTACTGTGGTCTTCAACCGAACTAAATTAATGACATGTTAAGAAATCTGTGACCTTCGGGAATCATGTTAACTCATCCTACTGGAAAGCTCAAGGGAACACCAATATATAGAAGTGTCGCAAAAAGGTGGCGCATTTGATTTTTAAGGGTATCGCGTGAATGTAACTTTGATTCCCCGGATTATAAGATAATATTCTAATTAAAGTTATATATCATTTTAAAGCTGTTTCGTTGACGTTTTTAGATCAACTACACTCTGTTCACGATTCTTGCGCGTTCTTTTTTAAAAAAGTTTTTTTTTACCAAAACATCTGGCAAATATCCCCTGTTGACACACGTTACATTTTGAATTATTTTTCGTCTTTAAACGCTCATAACTCAAACAATATATGACTAAAGGAAAGATGGAAGTTTTATTTCAAAAGATGAATTTTAGTAAGCGTCCCATATTGTGACGTCATAGAGTTTGAAAAATAGAATCTGTTGACAGCGACCTTTTTTGCTCATTTTTTGCTACCTTCAACTTTTCAGGTGTACATTAAACAAAAAATACGAGATCAATTTTTAATAAATCATACATGATTATTTTGCTCTTAAACTCTAGATTATTAATAAATAGTTGATTTTGTTCGCAAAAGTATGTGTTTTCTGTTGTATGTGGAAAAGTGGAGGACGAAAGGTTTTCAAAATTCATTAAAATAGGGCTAATTTACGCCATTCGCCTATTTTCAAGCACAGCAACACGTATATTTATTTCACCTAAAATATAAATTGATTCATGTTTTATGATGCTCCTATCCCATTGTTAATACATATACGATATCAGAGTTATTCGCCTTAAATATTTTGAGATATAGAGGCAAATGTGGAGGACGAAAGGATTTCCATATGTGTACATTTTTCTCGAAAAACGTCACATTCTGTGGTGATAAAAAGCGAAAATCTGTAACGATGCGTGTGCGACCTTTTTGCGACACGTCACACAGTCGGACAATGTAACGGACAGGTGTTTAATTGATATATGTCATGAGAAATCACATGATAGCTGTTGTTTTTTGAAGAATAATAATCCTTTAATGGGATCATTTCTACCCCCGGTTCTACCCAAATCAAAACATTACAGGGTGATCAAAATGTTACCTCAAAATTTCGAATTGTCCACACAGAAAACATGATTACTAAAGTAGTTGATGCCACGTATGTACATCACTCACGCATTGCACACCATATACACAGGGGAATTCATGGGACTTCCTTTATGATTGAGTTAGTTATTCCAATCTAAAATGAGAGGGTAATGTTTGTTGTGTCACCCTGTATACAGCAACCAGTTTGTGTTTAATAGCTATTTTATTTACAGTTCCAGTATTTATTGAATTCCAACTTATTATTAAAAAGATGTATTTCTTACGTAGGTGCTATAGGAATACCTATATCTGACATTTATATTTATTACTTATTCAAGCTAATACAACCGGGCGCCATAGTATTTGTGGTGGTGTATTCGCTTTGAGCTGATTATACGCTAATGGAAGAAATAAAAGTATGCTTACAGTTGTGCATTATCTCAGAGGCATTACGGTTGGAAATAGAATGTAGTATTTTATGGGGAGTGATCTCTGCAAAAGACCATCTATAGCTGTAGTATTTAAGAGGATATTAATTGTTAAAACCAGTAAATACCCAATAAAGACAATACAGTTGATTGCTACCTCTGTTGACAATACGGATAATCTACGAACGCATACTGATCTTAATTTAGTAGTTTTGAAAATAATTACGGAAGGCTCGTAAAGTAACACTGATTTAATATGAGATAAAATAATAAGCTTTCCCGTTTAATTACAAGCGTTCTGCAGCAGTCGTCGGAGCCAAGAAAAACAGTATATGTTAGTGGTGAATTTGATTTCATGGACAATAGAATATACAAGAGATACAGCGAGCGAGTTTTCAATTTTCTCGGTTAATTGGGCACGAATTTGAATTTGAGAGAATGTAATCCAATTCAGTTGGACAATTTAAGGATGGGTCAAAAGGTGTTTCAAGGTAAGAAATTACTGATGAAGTGAATTCATTTCGGTGCATGTGTAGGGTGGCTTTGGCGATATTAATGATGTTACTTAAGAATCTAGGCTCGCATTAGCTAGAGTGTCAACGCAATTGATGTGATTATTCATGAGGGCACGTTTCTTCTGTGGAGCCGATCTATTTTCTTCGAAATTAACAAATTGGAATGTGACCCAAAGTTTCATGGAAATTGAAAGTTGCAATAATATTATGACGACCATTAGATTCAAGCAACAAGGGTAGAAACAATAAAGAGCAATTTTGAGATGGACTTACATTCTAATAATTTGCAGAGAATTTATCGATGAAGGCACTGGGATAAAAAATAAGACGTTCGTCAGTCATAATTATTAATTAATCCCAATGGTTGGTAAACTAATAGGTATTTCAGTCAAACACCCATGGGCCCTAAACAAATGAGTCGTATTACGTGTATTGCGAGTATTAGGCGAGTCGATAGCTAAGTCGCTCTGATTAGTTATTACATGTGCACTTACCTTGAAGTCAAAATCGAATTTTTAAACAGAAGCTCATTATTAACATTTAAGATTAATGTAGGTGTGGTAGAATTATTTCTTATTTTATTTACCGCACCTTGCGTTAAGTGAACAATTCTGAAATTATCCGTACCTTGCGTTGAATGAACAATCCTGAAATTATCCGTACCTTGCGTTAAGTGAACACTTCTGGAATTATCCGTCCCTTTTCATGTCTTCAAAAACTACCTGAGACATTTTTTGAAAAATGTGACTTTTGAAAAAAGTGGTTCGCCTTATAGTTTTCAAATATTTGAATTACCCCCCCCCCCCCCTCCTCTTTTTTTTAAGAATAAAAGTCTATATTTTTAGATCAACGAATAAAACACTTTACTTTGCAAAACATATTATTTTCTCTACGCCATTGAATAGATCACAGGTAAAAGTTATATTGTTTCAACCATTCAATCTATGATATTATGCATATATATAAACCTTTAACTGCATTTTAAAAATGTGTAGACTGTGATGTCATTCAGATGGCAAAATATTATTTCAAACATTGACAATTTTATTTCTACAGTGTGTCTCAAAAAAATGTTACACTTACAAAAGGTTCAATATCTCTCATGATTTTGACTTTTCCCCTAAAATATACTTAGATATCAAAAAACCAGTCTTTTTCGAATAAATCCACACAATCAGATTCAAAATCCGTCCATGATTGGCTGCACAGGACAGATTTTATAGACGCACGTGAAATCTGATTTGCACCAACTTCTCAGTGGTTGGGCGTGTCGTGATCAATTCTTTTTTGGTGTGAATGCTGTGGACAGTGATATCTTGATATGATCAATGATCCAGTTGTTTTTTCCTTGATAGAAATACAAGATTCCATTGTCAGAGTGTTCAATTTTGTTATGTATGATGGCAACAGGATGGTGCAAAGGCCTGTGGCAGATCGTTTGGTAGAACTCTTTGGAAATCTGAAGATAGCATTGAATTACCCAATGCTGTTCCTCTTTTGTCATTTGGTCCATCCAACCACTTAGAAGTTGGCACAAGTCAGATTTTACCATGGGAGTCCTGTGGAGCTGTCCTGTGGAGCCAATCAAGGACAGATTTTGAATCTGATGGTGTCAAATTATTCGAAAAAGATAAGTCTTTAGGTAACCAAGGTATATTTTAAGGGAAAAGTCAAAATTATGAAAGATATTGAACGTTTTGTAAGTGTAACATTTTTTTGAGACACACTGTAATGCAGATATTTTCTAAATATGTTAAACTCTCAAAATAAAGCAATAAAGTTGGCCTATCTCGATTTAGAATAAGTTTTTATCGTGTTTTGTAATTCTATAACCATAAGTACTTTAACTTTAATATATTACCATTTACACACCGGAATAGCCTGACAACGGTAAAGTCATAACCGTCACTTCAATTCTTTAATCACTTGGTTCTCATTTCATGGGATTTTATTGTCGCTAATTCTGTGCATGTATTAAGCTCTTGTGATGATGTATCATATGAAATCCCAATTTCGATCAAATTTGGTCTTGAATCGCTATAATATAGCGTCTTCGATATCGTCAATGACAACGGAATCTGAATTTGAAATAATTTACAAAGAACGGCATGGTAATACATTGTCCGTTGTCCCGTATCTCGTTTTGATCGGTTAATTTAAAGACTTTTTTCCGATGATAGAACATTATTAACTTAACAATGAGTATATAAACACTTTGATTGATCGTTGTTCCAAAATAATTTAGTCTGGGTGCTCTATTAAACATACAGTTCATGAAAATCTAATTGAAGCGACGGTTATGTCCGCCATTTGTGACAACGGTATCTGACTTTACCGTTGTCACGCTATTCCGGTGTGATTTAAAAGTTTCGTGTTTAGATAACAACTACAGGCGTAATTGCCCAGATGGGCAATTTTACTACTGCATACTGCAATAAAGATTACAAGGTTACATTTATTTTGATTAAAATATGTTAAATAGATTACACGTCTAAGTCATTTCCGTAAAACAGACGTATAATGACATTGATGTCATTATACGCCAGAAAATGAGATGAATCCATTTTTATTGTCAGTGATACAATAAATAGCGGAAATATAAATATATGGTCAAAGGTTACCTCGGACTGGCTGTGAATGGGGACGGTCATAATGACACACCCTGTATGTATCGTCATGTTGATCAGTCTCGGGTGACGGGATTGGGCATAATTCTGAAAATGAGTTCAGGAGTGTCGTTCTGGTGAGTTGTGAAAGTGAATACTGCAAAGAGGAGATCTAATCGCTAGAGCACCATCATTTTACATGTTCACGTAATTTAGTTCTCTGAATTAAGAAACACGTAGCTTAACCTCCATATTGTCTGTATGCTTAAGCAGACTGGTATTCAATAACACCATTAGTATTATAATCTTTCTGTGATTATTAAAACTACTTTTATCGATTCAGTACACATGTTTTTAATTTATAATTGCTGTAGATAAGCTGTTTCTACGTAGGTGCTGTTAGTGTAACTAACTATTGGCTTCGGAGAGTGTTTTTCCTTATTTTTCTATATTGCTTAGAGTTGTGTTTATCAGTTCTAGTTAGCATGCTAATAAATGAGGAAAATGAAATTTGTATTGGACAAAACGTTTATTGTATTTTGTTATGTACTTTCAGATCGCCCGATATGGATATAAACGGCACGTTTATGAGAAGACGCAATGTCGCGTATTGATATGGAGATTGCATCAAGGGATGAAACACCTGATGCCAACGAAGTTTCAATCAATTAATTATCAAACAGTAGAATTCGATTTAGTCGGGCAAAATGAATTATACTAGTCCCCCAGCCTTTTCTAATAAATGATGAGAGGAACGGGTAGTACTTTTCAAGAAAGTTGTCGCGACCAATCGACAAATGGAAGTGCGAGATAATTAAATTTGTTTCCCGTAAGACGTTGACAGTCATCTGTCTGGAGTGTATTATTGGACCAAGGAAGACTGGATACAAGTTATATATGACACTTTGGTGCCACTTTTAGTGATGAAAATGGACAAGGAAATTGCGTTGAAATACAATGCGTCATTAAGAACGTCGTATAACGCCACGTTTTTAAACCAATTTGACAGTAATGGAGCGCCCATCAATTACACACGAACTGAAACGCTAATCATTGGAATCATTTTATGTTGCCTGATATTGCTTACAATACTTGGAAACCTATTAGTGATAGTTTCTGTCGTAACCTTCCGGAAATTACGGACTTTGACGAACTACTTTGTGATCTCGTTAGCGATAGCCGATACCTTAGTGGCGGTCCTTGTAATGCCATTCGGGGTATACCAGCAGGTGACTAATTTGCAGTGGGGATTAGGGGCAGTGGCCTGTAAGCTATCAACCTGCTTTGACATCTATTTTTCAACTTCTTCAATATTCCATTTATCATGCTTAGCATTGGATAGATATTTTGCAATCTGTAAACCGTTCTTCTACACTGAACATATAAGTAAAACCCCAATACTAATCATCATAGGCTTGTGCTGGATTATTCCTAGCTTTATTTCTTTTCTTCCAATCTTAAACGGTTGGAATCTATTCGGCATTGAGAGCATTTACGAGGAATTGAATAGCGACGAGGGCATCTGTGTGTTTATAGTGAACATACCATTCTCTCTGGTCTGCTCAAGTATTGCGTTTTATGTACCTGTTGTTTTCATGATAGTCGTAAATAGCAAAATATACAGTGCGGCGAGAAGGCAGGCCAGACAGATCCAAAGTCTTCAAATCATGGATTCACCAAACAAATCAAATCTAGATAGACGCCATAAACACATGAAAGCTGAAACCAAGGCTGCGAAGACTTTATCAATCATAATGGGTGTTTTCTCTTTATGTTGGTTTCCCTTTTTTATATTCAACGTCCTCGATGTGTTTATAGGGTATCAGATACCGTACGTCCCATGGACAATAGTGCTATGGCTTGGATGGGTGAATTCTACTATAAACCCATTCTTGTATTATTGGTTCAATCAAAACTTCCGGAATGCTTACCGTATGATTATTTCATGTGGACACTGTAAAGGATACAGGCAGCGAGACACTCTTTCCATAAGTGCAACGGGTGTCTCGAATCTATCCGAATGACGCGAGGCTAATGGCACTCTCCACACGCGCACTAATACACAAGAATCACTCATTTTAGAGAGTATAAAAATTAAAAATAAATGTTCAGAACAAAAACAAAACACTGGTGAAACACGAAGTAAAAAGCTCAATATAAAAGGAAGGGCATTCCATACGTACAATTCCATAAAGACATACATTGTTCATGAAACCTCTTTATGACACCTACTAGGTTAAGTAAAACCTTTAATCGAAGTCTGTAAATCAGTATTATGTTTTCCTAATTTAACAGCGTGGTCTCTAATTATAGGACGTTTAGATGCTTCCACGATTAATGGTAAAAATACTCGTGTATAATCTCCACGCACACAGGCAGTAAATCAAATATTTTCATTCCCTACTTTAATTTATAACTCATTTTATTATTTGCTTTTTAATTTTAATACTCGTTCGATTTTCACGACTTTTCAGAGTTATAATCGCTAATGTTTTCCGTCGCTGTTACATTTGTTTCCATCAATCACCTTTATAAGTAGGGAAAGACAGAAGGAGCCCTCGTTATGGAAAATAATGCTTTCTAACACATAATATCAATTATCTTTGTCAACTTAATATGATATATAGCACGTGTATTCTTCAAGGTGTAACGATTCCCATCGGCAGACCAAAAGCTGTGTCATAAGTCTTAGAAGTTATTAGCCAGAATTTCCGATACATCATGTGGTAACGGGAAACTTTATCATTCGCATTGTTGGCTTTTTTCTGTTAGTAAGGTATAAATTACAATTACTAGACAAGATAGAATTCATCAAGTCATATTAATTATATTAACGGAGAATGTGTTTCATGTCGAAGCTTGGTTGATGAAGGCTACGTGATACTTTGATTTCCGATTTTCATCAAGGTTAACGCTTAGGAACAAGTCGTTTAAGTCTTGATTTTTATACAAATGATATTACACATTAATCTGAAACATAGGTTCAAATTCTATTCTAAGAGCTGATTTGAAAAAGGTCACCCTACCTCTTACTAGATTTTTGTGCAAATCTAGGTCACAAAAACCCTGAGGAGTACACTGTTGTGTCTATGACTTTTTACAGAATATGTGAAACACAGCACTATAAATGCCCTCCGAGTTTAGTTGAATAATGATAATATAACGATAGCATATCTTCATGTATTTAACTGTCCATTTTAATCATATATGTATACAGGTATATGTACTTCATTACATCACTATGTAGATGTCTAGAGAGCATTATTTGACATGTTATGAAATATCTATAAATCCAATACTATCGACTCGTACTGTAGATTCCTTATTGATAATTCAGTGCGATTACATTTAATTTGTATAGTTTTTGATAATTATTGCAGAGTAAACATAGTAGATATGTATCGGGTGAGCCAAAAGGTATCTCTATTTTTAAAATTACTTAATTTTGGCGGAATTTTCAAGTGGAGCAAACTCGAATTTCAATGGCGGTGTCTTGGAATAGACACTACGGAGGGCAAACTGAAAAATATGCAAAATATGGTTAACACAGTACGCTTTTTCACCATAGTATGGCATATGTATTTTTTTACTATGCTTTATCATTATTTTGTCAAAATATTTCAAAAGTCATGAATTATGAGAAGAAATCTCCGTGGAAAGATTTTTTAGTGAAAGGTTTGATGATACTAGTTCACCTTAATATACGCCCAATGCGACCGATCAAGTTCTCTGGATTTCCCAATCACGTGACACGGGCATTTCTAATTTATCAGATAGTTTTGTCAATTTATCAAAATTGGCGAAGTAATTACATACATCATACTAGTAAGCACAAAAACGTTTGTTCCACCAAACAATCCATCTATACCAAAAATTCAAATTTAGAAAGTTATTCCAAAATTATTGGATAAAATCACCCTGTATATAAAATCATAACATTACAAGGTCGTCTTCTGTTACAGATTGTTCATCCTTTGACACGACAGCCAGATAACTAATATTTATATCATCTATTAAATTACTTTCTATTATTAAATCCATCTGCTGCATGATTATGCCCATTAAGGTCTTATTTATTGAGATTATGCCACAGCTTTACACCAGTGTATCTACAGACAGGATTCTGTCACATGAATTATGATTTTTCATAGGATTTGTATGGAGAGTGCCATTATTATTTGGAAAATACATATCATCTATAAAAAGCATGTACATAATAATATGATATATATATATATGAATATCCGATTCAGAAAAAGCAATATAGATATTCCGTGTATATTAATATCAGACAATGTATTATTTTTATATTCTGCCTAGAATGAATTATTGGCATTTAATCCGTCTCTATTAGTATTGTGAAATGAATGCGTCTGAAATATAAACCAGTTATTTAGCATCAAAAGAACAATATTCATTTTAGCAATAAAACTTCAGTTACATTTGCTACGGCGGCCATAAGGTCAATAGCAATTCTTCGACTTCTGTTGGAATTTTACGGTCAGAAATTGGCAGTCACATTTGCTACGGGCTTTTTAATGATAAGGCACGGTCACTATCTATAGGGCGTCACTACGGCGGGCGTAGTTTTAAGGCAGATGCAAGACGACCGCAGGGGTCTCGACGGCGATCCTACGGTCGCATCAATAGTAGTTAAGGATCACTAAGGTCAATTATAACCTATACAATTTTGGAACCTTTGTACAGTTTGGCTACGGCTTGTTAAAATAGAAATTTACCGATTTTAGGTAACTACGGCCGACGTATAGTCGCCGTAGAGCAAATGTGACTGAGTTAAGTACGTGTAATAAACAAGATCATATGTTTTAACTCTAGATCTTTCATATTACACAATTGGTCCTGAAAATGGTTGATTAATTGAAGTAATTGTTTTTTTTCTCAACGTACTGCAGTGAATACAATACTGGAATGGGATTAGATTGAAATCAGTCCATATATAACACAAAGCTCATGACTCAATCAATCATGACTAGAGCAATGCATGAGTCTTGCATGGAGCTTATAAAACGATGACCATAGCCGAGTTAGTACGAACCTACATTGAAACAAGAGTTTATTTGATAAAAAATATGAAATATTAAACGATTGCATTATTGACAATAGAATACAACTAAACTATGGTTTATAGACAGAATCCGAAAATATATGCACTCACGATGAATTTGGCAGATGGAATGTGGTTCTCTTGACCAAAGCTTCATTATACCGACCTATAAATCTAAACAAACCCCATATGAGTGTCTTTTTTATATTAATCGTCATTAACTCCACGGAGTAGCAAATTCTACCGAACAAAACATATTTTGATAATTAGTGCCCATCTAAGTTTCTTCTTGAAAAGAGCTCCTTTGTCTCTCCAATTTGAGTTATCAAAGATTGCATTTTTACGAAAATGATGGCCATTTTGAATAGAGGACATGCTGGAAATTTCATCTCGAGCAGAGGTGCACCCACTAGGCATAAATCCAATAGACGAATGGCTTCTCTATATCCTCCTCGAACTTCGTTCGGTAGGTTAACAATGGCATGCAGTTAAATTAACAAAATCGAAATGACACTCAAGGATAACTAAAGATATAGATATATAAAATGGTTATATATATTTTGCAAGTGGATCCAAGAGACCAAGTGGGCGAGTCAATTATTTTGCAGGGGTGGCATGATACACACATTTCAATTTTGTATATAGTGAATTCCAAGTGATTGATTTCAGTACAGTAAAACTGTCATAGTAAACACCTCTTTAGTGAAGATTTGTGCCAAGTGAACACATGACTCTGTTCTATTGAACACCTGTGTATAGTGAACACTGATTCCCAGCCAGTGATTTCAGTACAGTAAAAATACCCCAATGAACACCTCTTTAGTGAAGATCTGTGCCCAGTGAACACATGCGTCTACTCTATTGAACACCTGTGTATAGTGAACACCAATTCCCAGCCAGTGATTTTAGTACAGTAAAACTGTCATAATGAACATCTCTTTAGTGAAGATCTGTGCCCAGCGAACATATGAGTCTACTCTATTGAACACTTGTGTGTAAGCCAACATCAATTCCCACCCAGTGATTTCAGTAACTTTTAGAGGGGATTGTACCTACAGTAAAAAACCTGTCTAATCCAAGGGACCAGCAAAGAGCGTTCGGATTAGGAGGTGTTCACATTTTGAGGTTTTGCATTTGCAAGATTTGGGGTTTTGAAGAAAAAGAAACAAATTCTCAATGAATACTTAAGAATAGAAGTCCTTTTGACTTCCTAGCTTTATGGCATTACAGTGACATGAAATTCCGATTCAAATGAATTTAGTCATCCTAGAAAGCCCCACCATGAGTGAGATCGTTCAAGTTTTTTTTCAGAAATTTGATCAATTTTGTATGGGACATGTAATATTTTATGAGAAGTCTTCAGATTAGATAGGTTAATTTTTCAAACATGACTGTTCATTCTACAAATTGGGAGGTGTTCACGTTTCAAGGTTTTTTAACATTTGAGTCAATGGGAGGAAAAACGGGACCAAATAATGTTCAAATTGGGAGGTGTTCGGATTAGCCAATTGTTCAGATATACAAGGGTCGATTAAAAAGTTTCTTACCGTTGGCTCTCAATTTTATAATAAGAGGAGTTGGAAGCTCAAACTTTAACATGAGATAGGATAGATAGTTTGCTTGAAACTGTACGAGTTTCATATAAATTGGTTTATTGGTAGTGACACAGAGTCAATTCATATTTTCAATGACAAAGTTAGGTGGAGCAGCGTTATATATAAAATATCTGCTGAGTCGTGGTATTGCAAATTTATCGACATTGTTTCAAACCTCTCATACGAATGCCTTAAACATGTGTTTTTGAATCGAGTGGACAGATATAGCGAGTGCATTGCATCTGGGGTTGAATATTTTGAATGAGATTGAATATTAGCAGAAAAAATAATTAAACATGACTAAATTACAGTCTGTTGACAGATGACACTATTTAGTGTTAGAAATTTCCAACTCTGCAGCATAGCACAATTTTTTATAAAAACGCTGCTCCACCGTATTCAATCATTGAAAATATGTATTGACTCTGTGTCACTACCAATAAACCAATTTAAATGAAACTCAGACAGTCTCAAGCAAACTTACTATCCTGTCTTATGTAAAAATTATAGCATCCAACTCCTCTTATTATAAAATCTAGAGCCAACGGTAAGAAACTTTTTGATCGGCCCTTGTACAGGTTTTACTGTACTACAATTGTTTCCAATCTTTTGGAGGAAAGTGTACATCAACACAGAGAAATGACAGGTGACACACTGTCATGGGAACTGGTCACATCAGATGTTCCCACGCTTTACGTCCAGAAGAGGTCATTTCCCAGGATTATAGATGAACCCTTGGCCAATCAACGATATAGTTTACATAAGAGAAGTATGACTGTATGAATTCTGGGATATTCCTGTTTTGTTGAGTCAGATGAGAATAAAATTAACCCTTTGCAAATTTCCAATACTTGGCTCAATCTAAGAGTGACCAAGTGGAGAAAATGGAGTATTGGTGAAACATTTAACAGGTCCCTCATAGCATTGGAAAAATCTGTGATCCGGTTTTTGTGCATTCTAATCTGGTTTTTATTGAGTTCGCTTCTGATTTCGGAATTTACAACTTTTAATAGGTTTTCTTTATTAAAAATTGATATGCGTATATCCTGCCACCACTGTAAAATAATGGACTTGCCCACTTGGTCTCTTGGATCCACTTGTAATATGTGTTCACTATTAAAAGTACAAATATGTTGTGAATCAGTGATAAGAAGTATCACGTCACATCAATATGTACTCTTCTAGTTCATGTAACATAAGTTTGTGTTGTTCAAATAAAGTTTAAATACACTAATATGGAAACGAATATAGATTTTCTCGACTGTTATCTACTGTTGTTTCTAAATATTTATAGCAGAGTACCATCTCCCGGAATCTACCATGGGAATTGTATGCTAATAAACATTTTGCTAAAATTGTTAAATAGCCGTTAAATTCGCACCGTGCGTGCAAAAATCCGCATCTATCTTTTTTTGTGTAGCATCGTCTGCAGAGGGTGTTTACATCATGTATGTTTGAATATATTTTATGGTATCTACATCTGTACCATCTTTAATGTAATTGTGATCACTAATAACAGATATGATTGACCATGTCTGGTCATGTATGACCACTTGACTGCACTCTGGGTAGAAGAAACAGAAATACCCAGAATTCCTAGATGGTCTTGTGTCAACGGGGTATTCCCCTGTTAGGTAGAAGTATTCTGGCTGATAATGTTATGTCGTAGAAAGTGTAAAGTCTTGCAAATGGTAGCTCGATTAGCATGTACATGAATGTATCTCGATTGGTAGATACGATCATTATCTGTACAACCGATGACCCCTCCTTCCAACGTCATACCCATCGTCCCTAATTTCTTCTATCCCGACAACTCTACTCGTTGGTTGGTAGGAGTGTGACCTCGCCAGATACCTATTAATGGAAATCATCAAATCAATACGTAATGGTTATATGTTCAGAGCAAGTGCAACCCTTTTTGCAGCCTGTGAAATATAGATGTTATGGCATATATCATATAACATCATAACATATTTTCAGTGATAATAGTGATAATGGACAATTTAGGCTTATTTTCAATAAATCATGACAAGTGCATCTATAATGATTACCTATAATACAGGGTGTCCCAGAACTCATGAGAATCTTTTGAGGGAGATATAAGGCATAACTGATTTTTTTAATCAAGTGCACTTAATAAACAAACATTGAGGAATAACTGACATGAATTTCAGGCACATATCTTTAATATTTGCTAATTTATTTACATTTGAATTATACATCGCCATAAACCCCGGAGTAGTCAGAGAAAGACATAGAGATTATACTATATGAGGGATAACCCAAATATCCTGAACCGACTATGGGATGATCTGTTTAACCCATACCAATCACACTGTTCAATTGGCCACAGTTCAGAAACTTTTCAACCAACCGTGGAATTATTTTAAAATATTCATGACCAGTTTTGTATTTCTGTCCGTAGCCGGATTTTCCTGTTCAAATCTTTGATTATTAACGGGGCATACTGCTCCTTCCCTTCTTTGAAGCATCAAACAGATCGCGATTGTCTGCGGTTTTCTCCATTGTGAACGTTACAAAAAAGAACCAGTACCGGAACAGCGATTCCGCTCGGAGCGGGACGTAAAGCTATATCTGCCCGCTGATGAAAATCTAAGTTTTTACAAAAAGTAGGGGATAAATAGAGATTATCCTATATGAGGTTCAGGATATTGGGATTATCCCGAGGCCAATATAATATATTTGCCCGAGGGCCGCAGGTCCCGAGGGAAAATATATTATATTGGCCAAGGGATAATCCCAATATCCTGAACCGACTATAGGATAATATGTTTATCCCATACCAATCTTGGTCATCTGGTTAACATTGTTCAATCGTGGAAATATTCTAAAATATTCATGTCCAGTTTTATTTTCTTGGCCGTGTGCGGATTTTCCTGTTCTCTCAAATATTCCCACATTTATTTTCTCAAATTTTTGATTAAGTGGATGCTCCTTCCCTTTTTAAACCATCAAACAGATCCGATTGTCTGTGTTTTCTCCATTGTCGTTTACATTCATTACGCGGACGTTACAAATTTGAACAAATTTGCGAGCGGCGATTATGACGTAGCGGGCAGATATACTATATCTGCCCGCTCGGAGCGGGACGTAAAGCTATGTATTTCATACTTGAGTGGGTTTGGGGTAGATATCACCCGGGAATATATATCATATCTGAGGAGCGGGCAGGATATATTGTATATGTCCCGCTCCAGGCCAAATGCGGGCAGATATAATATATCCATCCCGCTCCCGGGAATTTTTTCAAAAGTTTAAAAATTTTAAAAATTTAAATTTCAGAAGTTTAAAATTTTTCAAAAAGTTTAAATGTTACAATTCTATTGTATTGAGCTGAAGGAATATTATGAAAATGTTAAATATAAATTGTGCTTTTACAGTATAGGCCTATCTTGTCATTTGAAAAGGGTGGTAAAGGTTATATCTACCCCAAACCAACTCAAGTATGAGATACACCAGTTATGTACGGTCGGTTTTGGATACAGTGTTTATCCCGCGGGAAATATGAGTATCTCCCTCGGTCCCTACGGTCCCTCGTGAGATACACACATTTCCCTAGGGATAAACCCTGTATCCAAAACCTCCCAGTACATAACCCTTATATCTGCCCGCTGATGAAAATATAAGTTTTTACAAACCGGCTTTATGTACCTGTAACACGTCTAAGTATGGGATAAAATAGTTTACGTCACATAATAACGCTTATACGCTAAGCTTATACAAAAAAACGTTGGTTTTATAGTTGAGAATTTGTATAAAATTGACAAAATGTGACATTAACTGTTGTATTTTCCCGACAACTCATGGGTTTGTGTCGATGTGGAATTCAAATGTCAATGAATTCGGAAATATAAAAGATAAGTGCCTGAGTGAAAAGATAAATTCATATCAGTTATTCCTCAAAGTGTGTTTAATAAGTGTACCAAATTAAAAAGAAAAATCACCCATGCCTTATATCTCCCTCAAAACGTGCGTTCTGGGACACCCTTTACGTATGCCCCATTTTAGCGTTTATAGGGCATCGTTGATGAATCGCCATTCATGTTTACGATTAAGCTAACATATTTTGCCTATCCTATATTGAAGGCTATAAAAGTAAAAGCCATAAATCGCAAATACTATGTTCCAGTCAGGGACATGTAATGTATAACGTATAGAGGTTCATCTATTAATTAACACGAATGTACAAGGCGAGCCAAAAAAGTTGACAAATCTTTATAACTCAGTCATTCAGCATGGATTTAAGGTCATATTTCGGACAGTTTCATTTGTCTTTTATCAATGGTAATGGTTTTTATGCGCATTTTACAAAACATGCCCCAAATACCGAAATATGCCAATCTCACTTAATATGAACCCCCAAACTTTTATCTGCGGGGCTATTTCAAAGATATTTTCTGTAATACAATACAATACAATAATTACGATACAATTCAATGCAATATACATTTACAATACAATACAACTCAGGAGATTGTTACAAGAGAGAGATTAAAAGGAAGTTGAGAGTCATTTTGCAAGATATAATGTAAGCTTGTCGTCAGAATAACTTAACCCAATGCATTTAAAGGTCCATGTGCAGTATGGCAAGTGATTTTAGACGGTCAAATCTTTCACCAGGAGTACTTTCTTTTCATGCAATAAAAATCAGAAAAAGAAGATCCTCTTTTGAGTAAACAGGTTTAACATTTTGAAAAAATGTTGACATGAAGTCCCTATTCATAATTTTTCAAATTGTTTAATTAATGTTTATATCACCATGGGTACTTCACTTGAAAGAAAACATATTGTTTTAATAAAAACCACTGTATTTATGCCCAGAAAGTACTCGTGGGGAAAGATATGACTGTCTAAAATCACTTGCCATACTGCATATGAATCTTTGCCTACCAAGTCGAGAGATTTTAGCATAGTTTGTAAAATGGTCATCAAATCGTGACGATTTGGATTAGACCAATTAATGAGACTTAGTATTGATCAATGTTAAATTGTGTTAAATTTGACCCCAACCCAATGCTCAATGACTTAATGCCATTTGCCTGGGTTTCCTTTTTGGCTCAACCTGTACATGTCAAATAAATATCTCGTTTTATAAAAATTCCTGTTTTGGAGACTCTGTTAAATTGTTTGGAAGTTAAAATGATCCATAAATATTAGAAATAAAGATAATAGTCAATAATTGTTCAGAAAAGTGAGATTAATATTGGAATAGAATCATGGAATCTATTCACAGTTATATATCATATTTTCAAGATTATTTTAATGGGCCTTTTTTATTATCAAAATCAATGTAACATATTTACAGGTTGTAGTGGCTATGGGATCCAAAGTTGACAAATGTGACCTGGACATTTTTAGGAGCATTGTACGACATTTGAAAACAAGTCTTATGATACTATTAACAAAGTTGTTGATTTTCAGAAATAAAATTATATTTGAATCAAACTGAAGTAATTAACTATTACATAACAATGAGACAAATAGCAACCGTTACTATAGAAAACTTACTTGATGTTACACGAGAGACCAATACGATGAGAAAGAAAATCAACAACTTTGTTAATAGTACATTACTACCAGAGAGATGAACATTTATAGAAGTCTTATGATGACATCAAATGTAAAAATGAGAAAAAAAATTAAAAAAAGTCACCGTGTATTTTGCATTAATCTACAGTACAGAAAGTGCAACCGTATCAGATATGATGAAAACAATAACACTGCCCTTTATCTGGCATTTGAAAGTCGTTGACCACAACTTAATAGGTTCATTCCAAAGAATAAACGAGTGAATAGTAAAGCTAATAACTTTCAAGGCAATAAAACATGATGAGCTTATGATTCATTTTCATATTGAACATCATTACTTATTCAATTGATGGGTCAAGGGTATTTTCATATAGTTCCTACAAAATAAGATATTTTTGACGGTCATAAAATAAAACCCAATTTACATTTCAATTTCAGAAAATCTTCTAAATAACCATAGAAACCATTTCTCATCAATCTACGGGAGAATAGTAAAATTTGGGATTCTAAGCCGATCATCATTTTAATCTTTGTGAAAAGATCTGGTTAAAATATCGGTTGAAGATCACAGTAGAGTTTCCCATAGGTGGCCATTATAACATTTTACCCTGTATCTTATTAACGATTAGTATCCAAGCCTAGTGCAACATACCACAGTGTTCGGGAGAGACTCGCCTAGCCTGCTATAACAATCTTACCATGGGTTGTCCACCGAATTTTTGAAATAAATAAACTTGAAGACACTAACCCCCTCTATCGTCAGATTTCTCAGAGAATTCTGGTAAAATCAACAAGGTCAAAATCACTCCGCCGCCAGCTTAAAATGAGATTTCCCACTGAACTCTGACATGTTTTCAGATAAATTAGGACCTACCCTATAAATATTTATTCCCGATTCACTTCCCAAACGCTAGATGGCGCTCCAATGGGGTAGGGAAGGAGAAAATGACTTTTTATTCAGAAAACCAAATCACTAACGGTAACCGCTAATGTCCTTACTCAGGACTATATCCTAATAGTAAACTGAATTAGTTTGTTTTCTTCCAACATGGTTATATTAGCATTGTAGGCATTATCCCGATCACAATGGTATACAACAATCCTATATTTGAGAAAAAGCACGGAGGAAAATTCAATCCTTATAGACACAGGTCCTTTTAGCAAAATTCAGGAAATTTGATTTTGAGATTTCTTGAAATTTCTTTGGGGTAGGGGTACACCTTACAGATTGCATCACAGATTGAGGACATCCAACTGAGGTGAACATGGCCATATGGGGTATCATTGGAAGGCGATTTCTACTATCTTTCAAGTGATATCCATGCCAAGGCGTTCAATTGCATCTTATGACGTCATATTGGTAGGAAGAAACAAAGGTTCATTCAAAACTGCCCCAAAAACAATTGAATGGCACGGGAGAATGGAATTCGGGGTACTTGGCACAGTTGCCTCGCCCCCAAAACACCAAAATTGCTTCAAAATGTCACGATTTTGGTAGCATTGTTCAGCTAAGATACAGCCCTTTAATATGATATGCGCTATTAGGCTTCTCAATGAACTAAAAAACCTCAAAAAGGGATAAAACCTTCAAAATGCCCCAAAAAAGCGCCTTCTAATAGGTTGAAGATCACAGTAGAGTTTCCCATAGGTGGCCATTATAACATTTTACCCTGTATCTTATTAACGATTAGTATCCAAGCCTAGTGCAACATACCACAGTGTTCGGGAGAGACTCGCCTAGCCTGCTATAACAATCTTACCATGGGTTGTCCACCGAATTTTTGAAATAAATAAACTTGAAGACACTAACCCCCTCTATCGTCAGATTTCTCAGAGAATTCTGGTAAAATCAACAAGGTCAAAATCACTCCGCCGCCAGCTTAAAATGAGATTTCCCACTGAACTCTGACATGTTTTCAGATAAATTAGGACCTACCCTATAAATATTTATTCCCGATTCACTTCCCAAACGCTAGATGGCGCTCCAATGGGGTAGGGAAGGAGAAAATGACTTTTTATTCAGAAAACCAAATCACTAACGGTAACCGCTAATGTCCTTACTCAGGACTATATCCATCAGATGTTGGCCTAGACAGAGTGTCCATCTTTCTTGAGCATTATATGAAAAGAGCAGAAATCATATGAGATGTTGGCCTATGCAAAGTGGCCATCTTTTAAAGTATAATATGGAAAGAACACAAATCATATGAGCTGTTGACCTATGCAAAGTGGCCATCTTTTTTAAGTATAATATGAAAAGAACAGAAATAATATCAGGCGTTGGCCTATGCAAATGGCCATCTTTTTTTAAGTATACTATGAAAAGAACAGATACCAGGCGTTGGCCTATGCAAAGTGGCCATTTTTAAGTATAATATGAAAAGAACAGAAATCATATGAGGTATAGGCTTATGCAATATGCAAAGTGTCCATCTTTTTTAAGAATAATATGAAAAACAGAAATCATATTAAGCGTTGGCTTATGCAAAGTGGCCATCTTTTTTATGAATAATATGAAAAACAGAAATCATACATATATCAGGCGTTGGCCTTTGCAAAGTGGACATCTTTTTTAAGAATAATATGAAAAGAACAGAAATCATATCAGGTTTTGGCCAACGCAAAGTCGCCATCTTTTTTAAGTATAATATGAAAATAACAGAGACAAATCAGGTTTTGACCTACGCAAAATCGCCATTTTTTTTAGGTTTAATATGAAAATAACAGAGACAAATCAGATATTGGCCTTTGCAAAGTGGTCATCTCGTTATCAAAAAAGGAAAATACAAAAACAGGAACAAGTTTGTCGTGGAGTTGATCAAGTTGTTTGTACTAATATAATGCAATATCTAACACGTGCACATTGTTTAAAGGGTGTACATGTATATCGAATTTCTACCTTACAAACGTATATTTTTATTATCTCCCATATCATTTTGGAACATGTGATATTTAAGATATATATTTTGCAAAACGTATCTATGCAGGAGAATCTCGTGTTATGTCCTGATTCAATTAGTTTAATTATTTCTTCTTAATAAATTCAACGCTAGATTATTCCTTAGTATTTGTTGTCGCGGTCTAATGAATATTTGCTTGGATTGCATTGATTACTATGTTCCTACCTCTGGTTTGTTCTTGTTCTCAAAGGAGCTTCAACAATACGCCAGCCATTTTGTCCCCTGCGATCAAGCGATCCTAGGGCGGCCCTAGATACAATGTGTAAATACAAATTTGTTATCAATGCAAATCATTCTTTTACACAACCTGATATTCACAAGAAGTGTCTATGAAAAATAAACTTTGAAACGCCTCGGTTATGTAAAATATGATCAGAAAATATGCAAAATTGGTGAATGATAACGAATTTAGTTTTGATGCATTCATGAAAGGTATACATGCACACGTTGGCATTAAAGCAAGAGACACTTTAAATCGATATTAACTGTTACTATGCGTACCTGCCATGGTTCTGTTGTGTGAGCACCCGTTGTTTCCTTTGACCTCTGTCCAACGAGCCGAGATGGTTCTCATCTCTTCCGTATTGGGCTTCGGGTAACATCACCGGGACCACCATTTGTGATTGGAAACTTCTTTCAGACACCGGGGTTTGTACATAACTCAACGGTGCTTCAACTAGGCTTCCCACTGGCAACGGTGTTTGTATCAGACTCGGTACTTGTTCGTATAGATGTTCGTATATTGGTGCTTCAAATAATGAGCTAGAGTGTCGGGACATATCTACTGACGTCTGAATGACATTCACTGGCTGTTCGAATACCATTTGAGACGGCTCTTGGACAATTTGCATAGGCTCTTGGTACACCTGATCCTGGACTATTTGAGGTTGGGCCTGTACCATTTGTACAGGTTGTATAATTTCCATTTGTGGCTGCACGACTTCCATTTGTGACGGCGCCTGTACCAGTTGCATCGGTGCCTCTGTGTACTGAATGGTGGATTGGGGTGGTTCCGGAACCCGTACCATCTCACTTGCATCCAATTCTGGTTCAATAGCGTTATCGTATGATGTTGGTTTAGATCGTACATATTCTACCACATTCGGTTCGACTTCCGGTTGATTCTGATCCCTTTTATTTCTGCTGAAAAAAAGTTCATTTTCACCTCTGACACATGACTTTAAGTAATTCAAGAAACGTTATTGCTTATATTGTACATACTTATTACGGCTGCCGACATGCCAAAAATTACTTATTTTTACATCTACAGTCTTAAAAAGTGTCCAAGTTGAACAGTTAGACGGCGCAGCATCATAACAGACTTAATTTAATATCAATGACACTCAATGTACATTGAATTACCTTGCGGTTCCTTTTGCTTTTTCTTTCAAACGCCGGCGATGCCTATACAAAAGCGGGACTCCGATGAGTAAAGCCAATAAGAAGAATCCTCCTATGACACTACCTATGATTATCTGCTGCGTCTGGGTTAATGTCATATTAGCTGTCACGTCAGATTCCACCTTTCCTAGAACATCGTTACAGTAAAATAAAGTGACACATTGCAATAGTAAAATGACATGTTGTCATAAGTTAGACGTGTCGCAAAAAGGTGGCGCATTTGTTTTTAAGGGTATCGCGTGAATGTAACTTTGATTCCCCGGATTATAAGATAATATTCTAATTAAAGTTATGTATCATTTTAAAGCTCTTTCGATGAAGATTTTAGATCAACTACACTCAGTTCACATTTTTGCGCGTTCGTTTTTAAAAAAGAGTTTTTTACCAAAACATCTGGCAAATATCCCATGTTGACACGTTACATTTTGAATTATTTTTCGTCTTTAAACGCTCATAACTCAAACAATATATGACTATTATACTTATTTTTCGTCTTGATAAAGGTAGATGGATGTTTTATTTCAAAGGATGAATTTTAGTAAGCGTCCCATATTGTGACGTCATAGAGTCTGAAAAATAGAATCTGTTGACAGCGACCTTTTTTGCTCATTTTTTGGTACCTTCAACTTTTCAGGTGTACATTAAACAAAAAATACGAGATCAATTTTTAATAAATCATACATGATTATTTTGCTCCTAAACTCTAGTTTATTAATAAATAGTTGATTTTGTTCACAAAAGTATGTGTTTTCTGTTGTATGTGGAAAAGTGGAGGACGAAAGGTTTTCAAAATTCATTAAAATAGGGCTAATTTACGCCATTCGCCTATTTTCAAGCAAAGCAACACGTATATTTATTTCACCTGAATTATCAATTGATTCGTGTTTTATGATGCTCCTAGCCCATTAACAATATATATATGATATCAGAGTTATTCGTCTAAAATGTTTTGAGATATAGAGGTAAATGTGGAGGACGAAAGGATTTTCATGTGTGTACATTTTTCTCAAAAACGTCACATTCTATCATGTTAAAAGCGAGGATCCTCTGGATTACGCCACAAAATGTGTAACAATGCGTGCGCGAGCTTTTTGCGACACGTCTTACAATTATTTTATAATATATATTGCTAAAATATTTTTTAACAGTTTTGCACTCTAAAGGAGCACGTAGGTTATCGCAAACAATTTCAAACGATTCTAACTGGAATTATAAATATTTTCTGATCATGAACATGGGTGTGTCTTTTAGATCCATTAATTATCTTCAAGAAAAGTATATATAATGATAATTTAGTTAATCAGACCTAAGTGATATTGAATGGGGCAATTGACCAATCAACATACTTTTTCAAAAATGTTGACCTAATTTTCACCAAAAATGCAACCTTTTATTATATTGTTGAATGCATAATTAGAATGTGCTTTGAGACACGTTCTATTTCCTTAAAGGAAAAGTTGATTGGTCCTGGGACTTCAAAGATACTGAATTTGGATGACCAAAATGAACTGAAACCAATGGATTATGGATAGCATGAGATTTTTCAATGGAGAAATAACATGGGGAACACTTATCCTAAAGCAATTAAGTTTTTCTCTCAAGACCTAATTGATACATCAAAATAAAGAATAGTAATGCATTAGACATTGTAAAAATGATTGCATTTTTGGTGAAAATGGGTCAACATCTTTGAAAATATGTGTTGATTGGTTAATTGCTAGTTAAATATCTCCGAGTTTGTTTGACTCTATTATTACTGTGTATAAGTTTCTTTGAGATATGAATTGATCTCAAAGATAAACCTGTGTCCATTGTCAGAAAATAGTTATAATCCAAGATATAACCTTCTGAAATTGTTTGCGATAACCTACGTGCTCCTTTTTTCTGTACTAACATTGATTATTCGCTCATTGACATGTTCAAACAAAGTTTAGTCCTTTTTACTTACGGACGCATACTGGCATAGGGGTTGGTCTCCAATCGACTAGATCGGGTCCTATTTGCAAACAGGTTAGTTTATCTGTACCTACGAGTGTTCTGGTACTATCGCAGCTTATATCTATGGTGGTATCCTTATCCTCTTTCTGATACACGCTTAATATGATTTCATCCAGTTCGGCTTCGTTTGCGAACACAATTGGCTTCTCTGTCCGATTTGATAAACTCTTGCACTTAAGTGATTCCATATTGTCTTCGTTTACAAGTAAATCACTTTCCCTATAATTTAAACTTAAGATAATGTTTGATACAAATTAGTCAAATATATTGTGTTTATATTTTTAAAAGTTGACAGAATGCAAAATGTTTAAATGTAGTTTAGCAAATTGTCAGTTTCATACCAGGCAATACGGTCGAAACCCCATCAATATGGACATCATAATTGTGTAATAGCTCACGTTTTTCGTAAAAATAACGATTACTTGTAAATGAAAGTTTTTGACCTTATAACATGTGGTGAACTTTTCATTTCATGTGTCACCAACGATGAACATACCAAAATATTTCAATATAAAGCCAAGCTTCTTTTTGTCCACTAATATTGATACCTCAATTGAAAAGCGTTCAAAAATGGAGTCATATACAAATATTTTATGATTGATGGGTGTTTCTAAATGGATACTATATTTTGGCGAGTTCTAAATGGATATCGAAAAATAATTTCAAAAGAAATTTAAATAAACATGTTAAGGAATATATGTGGAGTTAAGTGGAAAGAAAATGAATACATTTCGATGTGTACACAGCTTGTACAAAATGAATGTAAAATAATTTATATCTTTTATATAGAGTAGAGTGGCCTTCGCTAAATAGTTTACAGTCTGATAATGCATCCGCCTTGTTTGTATTGTATGCTGTTATTTCGGTAAAAAGAATCATGAACACTTTTAAGAAGTACACAGTTATGCATCTATACAAAATCTTAGATATATTACACTAACAACAGGCAAAGGATAATAATATATAACATACCTTAATGTATGCACAAACAAGAGTATAAATAATTTAAACCTAGTTGGTATATTTGGAAACATGAGCCCAGGAATACGTTTACATGAATAAGGCTGAAAAGATGGACGATTAATTTATACACAGTTGAACTTGTCAAAGTGGAACACCTTTGGTACCTCTACAAAGGGAGATGTTCCCTTTATACAGGTTTATGTAATATGAAACTGGTTGGTATTGTGATTCTGAAAAGTGTTCCACAAACAGAGGTATTCCACTTTACATTTTAACATTATATACAAGGAATTAAGATGACAAAATTTCACCACCTAGGTGCTCACTAACCTGAGTTCAATCGAATAGTTAGATTTGAACTTCTGAGAACTTAGTAGCTGATTTTGAAAAAAAGATTGGTTAATTTGAAGCAAGTTGAAAGAAGAATTTTTACCTGGAGAAGGTCAGTGAAGGCCAAGTCTAAAATCTAAAACCCTGAGAAGATGATTGAAAAAATTGAAGTCAGTGTAAACAGTATTTGTTAAGTTATTGGAAGTTTTTAGAACTTGTTACAGACATCGGACGCCAAACACCAACAACCAATTACCAACCACCGCCCGCCAAAAACAAATCCCCGTCACAAAAACGGAGACCATAACAATATGTCACCACTTTTGGTGGTGGCATAAAAACTCTATTTTAATACATATTACTACTGCATTCCCAGACCTCATTTGTAAAACGAATGTGAATACACTCGCATCGTGGGGGATAAGGCGTACTAAAATATAATCAATTGTAATGAAACGTAGATGATTTCGTAATGAAACGTAGATGATTTCATTAAACCTAGAAGTCAATCTCTCCTTAAATTGAACTTGATTTTTGCTTGTCTTTTATTGGCTTATACTATGGAACGTATACAAAACTAGATATGGGGAATAAATATAGACTTGATGCAAAACTTTAAAGGATGGTTGAATCGCACACCTTCTTGTTGACAATAAATAGTTAAAATACATGTTTTAAATATGCCTCACCTATCTGGTTGTTATGATACTCCGGATTCCATACAGTACGAATAAATGCGTTATACAGCCCTTTTAACTTGTAGTACTGTACTGTAAACTTTTACGTTCCGTTAGTTGAATTTGTCCTCGTTAGGTTTGGCCGATCTTTCTGGATCACTCTATTTTGCTAAAGAACGTTTTGATGTCTATGGAAATGGAATGTAAATCGTATAACTAAAAGCTGGACGTTGATGAATCCTCTTCTATTTTGACTGCACGTACAATATAAATTTCAGAATCTATTTATTACAGTTGTTTATTATCATTTTAAAGGTTGGGTGGACCTTATTTATGAATGCATCTTGTTTTTTATATGACTAACATTGTGAGAACCCATTTATCAGTGGTGGCAAAGTTGAATACAACTAATCGTTAAGATTGTGGTATATGTCATCTTTATAGCAGCCTAAAATAAACGTAGGGTAGTGATAGAGGACAATGCATAACATAACAACATTTCATCACTTTTTATTTCAGCTTGTAAAAATTTGTTTCAGTCCCTTGACGCAAAACACCATCCACAAAAAAGTGGGAGACTATTGACAATATGTCACCACTTCTGATTGTGACATAATAGGCCAAAAACGTTCATAATTTTTGCTTAAACAAATGCAAAATTCAAATATGTTGAAATATGTGTGTTGGATTTATTATTCATTCATATCATACATTTTAGTGATTGTACATGACGTACATAATATATTTTACAGAAAATCTTTTCTAGTCTACTATGGTACAAATCTTACTATATAAAAGTCTGCTAAAGTAGGCTAAATAGTATTTTATATACAGGGACATTATGTAAATGTAACATCATATACTGAAACATTTTGATGTTATATAGTGTTGTTTATTTTAGTGCTTACTCAGTAAACTATGGTGGTACGTTGTTATCTTACATTTCTTTCTACTATCCCACATTCTATACAAAAGTAAACCTTCTCATGATCAGTATGTTTAGACAGTTTTTAGATTTCATGCTTTGACATGTTCCAAAATTAGCAATTTATGCAATAAAGTTTTAACAAAACAAGCTGCATTTCATTTCCAAGAGCAAAAACACAACTTTGGGCATATGATTCCACAACATGGTAATTTACTCGATTTTCAAGAAATATGAACTATATCAGTTTTCATCTGTGAATGTTAACACCATATTGTGACACCAATATAATGATTATTTAATTCACTCGCCATTTTGAAAAGCAACATCACAAGCAGACGATTTTTGCAATTAGACTATCACATTTTTTTTGTTGTGAAATTGAAATGAGCACGCTCAATTAATAAATGCACGAATCTTGTGACTCTTGTCTACGTAGGTCTATATTTACATGTAACTTAAGCAAATTGAGTATAATATTACATGAGAAACATGAGAATAATGATGATAGAGTTAAGACTTACTGATGCATAAGATGGGTATTTTCCACAATTTATTCAAAATTCGGATCCGTTTCTCGCATGATTAAAATCGGAAAGTAAAGGATGACATCACAAAACTAGATAAGATAAGGAACGTAAAAACTAAACGAAATTGTCAACATACAATGTTATGACGCATCATACCATAGTAAGAATATGAAAGGAACAATAAAGATATGTTTGAGAAATGGAACACTTACAACTGAATTACTTTATTAACATTTGTTTGTTTGCTGAGGAGTGAGTCTGTTCATAAATAACTCCATCTGCCATTTCCCTAACGAGCCAAAAATGTCAATTAATGAGATTCCTGTGATCTATCGAAACATTCTTATGAAGAATAAAATGTGATACACATTAATTAATGAGAAGGCTAAAATATCAGGTCTCCCAAAATGGCAATTTAGGCCCAACCTGCACTTTAAGGTTACTTCTGGTATCTATCGTCAACCATCGGTCAACGTGGCACATTGAATGCATCTTTGAAGTCACTTGTCTTGATATCGAATCATTTTACAGAGTTGTATATTGTGTCTGTATCTCATTATTATGAGGTAAATGATGATTTGTGAACCCTAAAAAGAAACAAAGTGGAGTTGACAGTTTAACACGAGTATTCATGTATATTCTATTTCACTATTTAGTGAAGAGACATGTATATAAAGTGTATGATAAAATAATGTTAAATATTTTACAGATGTTTTACGCCAATATGCTGACCACAATTATAATACACTTATGTTAAGGATTGTATAATAAATCATATAAATATCCCAGATGCGAGTAAAAATAATCTTGATTTACGTCATTAAAAATTCACAATTCAGGCAAACTGATGTCATATTTGGAATCTACATGTAAAATTACATTTAGAAATGTGGTTTTGAAAAGAGTTAATCAACTTTGAAAATTTAATTTTCTTTGAAAATGTGACTTCTAGGTCGGGGAGATTCCCCATAGACCCAATGTTGTAAAACCACAAAAAGTGAAATATTTTTTCTTGTGTTGGGCAGATAATATTTTCTTTTACTGGGCATATTCTAATTTGTATAACTATCAGATACATAAGGGTAATATGAAAAGTGAACCACTAAAACTGATGCATATTCAAGTTTAAAGTGCCCGATAAACTATAAAATGCGCATGCGTCCAGGTGTTGATAAACTATAAATAGCGAAAATCCAGGGTTTGTCACCACAAGGTAAGCCAGGACGTGTTGAGAGAACAGCTAGTGTTGATATTGAATTTACATGTAGCCAGATAAGTTTCCTTATTGAAATTACATATGGTTATTAGCAATACTTTGTAGGTGCTAAATAATAAAATATTTAGAGTATATGAGAGAAATTGGTCATTTCGAACCTGTTGAAAAGTTTGTAGCTCTCGGCTACACCGGGGAATTTACTTCCATGAGTACACGCATAAATGTGGGGTTCCCCAAGAGGTACGCGACAAGGTGACCTGGCATCAAATGTGCGACTAAATGCTACTATCGAGAAGATAAGATATTTGATTGGCTAAACGTCGAATGAAACCAACAAATTATGAAATGTAAAATGACAATTTTGAAATGTAAAATTTTAAAGTGACAAACACAACCTCCCTATCCACTCTTTGGGAGCCCTAGTAAATTAGTAATATGTACATGCAGCAGTGGTAGTGTACAGCTTATTATCACACTACGCTTTGTATTCTAAAGCCTGTTGTTTGTAATAACACTGTTCACTCAACGTATGTTTTGTGTGTGGGCAGTCAACGATAATCATTGTTTTATTCCGGTTATATGACCTCGGCAATTATAACAGAACCGTACTAAACAAAAAACGCAAATAAGAGAAAGCTTTCACACACATATAAAAAATGAACTAGTCTAATCCGCCAGTATAAACTCTGTGCTATACGTAGCCGGGTCAGGCGCACACTTTAAGGGAATTTTGTTATACCCTGCCATGTTAATTCCCCCGAATCAGCCACCTGGTGGCGAAACTGGTAACTATCTACTCGCATCTGAGTAATTGAGCACAATGCATGGTTTCTCAATCATCAAGACTATCGTATGGAACATATTATATGTTTTTGTTATGATAAAATAGTTAGGTTATGCAGAAAAGGTGGCTTAAAACCTGTACAGTTACCTCTTGTGATGTGCTTTATGAACTATCTGTATGGTCGATAATCATCTCGTCTAGCATCGACATCCCTGATTTCTTCTAATCCCACAACTCTGCTTGGCGCTGGGTGATGTGATCTCGACGTATTCCTAATAATAAATTATAAAGGAGTGGTATCGATATGGTGAGCTTTTTGAACACGCGTTTCTCTTAAACCATCAAAACATTCTGAATATTTTACGAATCATCAAATTAATGGTCATCTTTTGGATGGTAACATTATAATATGAATTATACTATCTATACGTTTCTCTATATTGTTCTGGAAAACACATCAGACACGTCTTTCGTTCTTGGTATCATATGTTCAGAATGAAATGAAACATCTATCCGAACCTCATTGGAACAAAACGACATAAACACAACGTGTTTAGGTCTCTCAATATTGTAATTGTACAAAGGAAAGTTTATTTTAGAAAGACATTTTATTTCATTCTCAAGAATTGGTAGAAAGAAACAAAAAACCATTGCACTAAAATCAAAAAACGTTAACAAAAATAGGTATATAAAATATCTATAAATATTTTTTGCATTAAATTGTTGCCAATCAGTCAACATTACATAAAGGACCGTGTTTTTTACAGATTGTTTTCAATAATTGGTTTAAGAGAAAAACATTGTTGAATTCAGTTCACCATATCGATACCTATCCTTTGCAAAAGTATGAGTATATAAACAAATGTAAATGTAAATACATAAAAGCTTCCTTGAAATAGCACTTTACAAATACAGATTTTTAAAATATTCTGTCGAAATTGATTAATACCTTAGAAGGTTGTTCCTTTAAACAAAATAATAATGTTAAAACAACACAGCAAAATAATTTTGATAGAAATAAAGCAGATATGTTTAGTATGATTAGTACATCTCAATCCAATGAAAACATGAGGTTTTAACATCAATTCACACATAGCTAAGCAAGTTTTGTCAATTCTAAACACGGTATTTTAAATAATGCGCATGCTTGAAATAATCAATCACGCACCCACTTTAATGCACCCGTGCTATCTTTAGATTCTAGTGAAACGGATTACATCAGTTTCATATAGACTAATAGTTGAATGAAAATCTTTCAAAAGTATCACAGGGAATAACAAGCCAGGTGCTTATGCAGGCCAACATTTCTGGATGTCAAATGGTAATAGTGTTGACCTAGTTGAATCTTCTACGAAAATCCATTCTTTTAAGTGATACTGTATAGAATCATTTTCAATGTGTGAAAAGAATTTAAGCACCAGACTCATCACGCAGTCTGGAAACAACAACACATCTACTTTAGAAAGGAAACAAATAAAAGGTAGGTGTTTGGGCAAAATTGCGTTCGTGTACAATAATACTGTTCCTGTAAACAACAGCCCTATCTATATCTATGACTATATCTATACAAACACAGAAAAAAATGACAAAAGATGGATGCATTTATAGATGTCGTCAATGGCTTATTATTTCTATCAATCAATATGGTCGTCTATAGCTCTTTAGCCTTCGGTTAATAACTGAAGAAGTAAAGAAATAAATACCATGTATAGTTTTGTAACGCCTTTGAGTGAATGATTGTTCAAGGCAAAGAGAGAAACAAGCAAGATTTGCACAAAAAAAGAAAATAATAGTAAATTTCATACCATTCATCACTTTGTCTTGAGCCATAATAAACGTTACTATTGGTAGAGCTACAATTTCATCAAACCGATCTGATAATTGTTTAACAAATTAGCAAATTTCTGATATATCCATTTATAGATGTTAGAACAGTTACATATAAGACAGATCGTTCATGTTCACATTAATGAATATTTCGGGGAATAATTTTTTTAATTTTATAAAATATACACTACTCCACGTTGTATATTCGACCCGTTGTATTATGACTTATCCTCAACAATCTTTTTTTAATTGCATGCAGCAACGAATTTCGGAGACAATGTTTAATAGCGATGTATATCATCTTACCTCTGTGTTCTTGATCTTAAAGGAGCCTCGACAGTGCGCCAGCCATCATGTCCTTCGCGACCCATCGTTTCCAATGCCGTCCTAGATATATAATTACATGTACAAACAGTGGCCAACTTACTGAATCATACAGCCTCTTGTAATATGTCTTATGTGGCACATACTACAAACACATAGTTCACCGTGATGCAAAAATATTTTCTATCATATCAAAATTTGAAACACTTACAATTATCTCAATCATCAAGATTAATTAATATACAATCGGGCTCTAAAATAATGATCTGAAAACTAAAAATTGGGACATCCCTAAATTCTGTCGATTAACATCTTTAGGGTTTGGACTTTGCCAAAACAGGTCTTCTTCAGTTGAAATATTTTTGTCAAGTGTGCCGCATATTCATGGTTTGTAGTTGAAATATTACCCTAATTGTATTAAGGACCCCGGGTTTAGTCCTCTGATTTACTTTAATTTGATAATGGTTCAGCATGTTAATATAATCGTGCCCATCAGTATTCTACAGGATATATACCTTACTCTTCTTGTCTTAGTTTCGGGATATACCTAATAATCAGATTGACAATGGCAAATCCAGTATAATACAGTGTATGATTAATTAAAAAAAGATTTGTAAGTTACCTGCCACGACCATTTTTATCATATGTCACGAATTCCTCCATTGGTTCCTGTACAAAGTATTTTGATGGTTTAAGATTCGCATGTTCAGAGGCAGATATTGCCCGGACACTCGGGCCAACCTGTCGGTGGTTGTACTCCCTTCTTATCACTCGAGGTTTCCTTTGATTTCTATGGTTTTCATACCTCACATGTTGGACCTCGGGTACCACAGATGGTACAACCATCATCTGAGACTGAAAACGCCTTTCGGGAACCTCAATTATTTGTCTACTTTCTCGCGGCATTTGCACAGGGGCATGCATGACATTCAATGGTTGTTCATACATCATGGGAGCTTCGACTAATTGTCTCGTTTCCCGCGGCATCTGCAAAGGGGCTTGCATCATATTCGATGATTGCTCATACATTATGGGTGCCTCGACTATTTGTCTCGTTTCTATTGGTGCTTGCAATGGGGCCTGCATTACATTCGACTGTTGCTCATACATCATAGGCGCCTGGACTATGTGTTGTCTAGTTTGACGTGGCATATGTACAGGAGGCTGAATTACAGTCATTGGCTGCTCGTACATCATTGGTGCCTCTATTTGTCTAGATTGCTGCGGCATTTGCATAACGCTCATTGGCTGCTCATATATCATTTGAGTCGGCTCTTGGATCATTTGGACAGGCTGTTGAAATACTTGCTCCTGTACCATTTGTACAGGTTGTTCCATTTGCACAGGCGCTTGTACAACTTGCATCGGCGCTTCTATGTATTGAATAGGGGCTGGGACTGGCTCGGGAGCTACTGGTTCCCTGATGTAACCATAAGATGGTGGTGGTTCGGCTGGCAATGATTGTACATATTCCACGACATCCTGTTTTGGTTCCGGTTTACTTTCCTCAAGATAATGATGCCGCTTAATTATTCTGGAAAAGATTTCCCGTTTATCAAATAACCCTTTCATAACAATAATATTTATATTCTAATAAATTCAAATATACATACGTAATTCATTGTCCATGTTACAGTATCCTAAAGCTTCATACATGCATTGGATACGCGAGATAGACAGTAGGACGGTGTCTGGGGTTTCTTTTCAAAAAGCCATTGCACTTTTGTTGAGAACTTTAGAGACATTATGAGTAAATGATAGAACTTGAACGGTTTGTAAAAATAATAGAGAGGTTAAGCAACACTACTTTTTACAACGTAAACCGCGAATGGGAAGGCGCGCGCAGGTTTTTCTGAGGATGTGACGTCATATTGTTCTACTTATTTCCCGGTTTACGTACATCTAAACGTGAAAAATCAAAGTCTAGGTAAGTCGTTCCGTAAAAGAATTTTTATACTTTATCAAGTTCGATTGAGATAAATATGATACAGGTCGAATGCATAAATATGTTTGACACATATCTGTGTATATATCGAGATCATTTGTGTCCAAATTAGTCAAATATGACTTGAATATTGAGGCACCCATTTCATATGTAAAATCTGATGAGATTACATGCATGCAATTACCCACATGTCAACTCATCTTAATTCGATTATATATACATATTGTGACACCATAGTAAAACTATGAATGATTTAAAGACATTAAAGATATTATAGCGTCCTGTTGTATTTTGTAAGATTCAAGATGTCATAGGCTGTGAAGCATCTCCTTTGTTAACACTTTAATCAATTTGTTAATAAAGTAATATATTCATACTTATAAAGTAGAAAATAAAACGAAAGGCCGGTAAGAAAAGAAAAAATCATTTTGAGGTTTGCCTTTACGTTACGTCTAAAGTGCTCAGCTTAAAGCACTTTTGTTCATAGTACGTACATAAACGGGAACGTAAAGGTTTACGTTTGCGGTGCACGTCATAAAAAATCGTCTTGCTTAACCTCTCTAATAACTCCTGTAATCCCTGGGCTTTGGTTATTCATACGTTTAGCCACAAAATGAATAGTTTCAACACAAAGAAACTGAATGCGTGATATCATGCTTAAAGGTTGAATAAAGACTATAAAAGAAATTTGGGAGTCATTTTACCTTTTCCGAGCTATTAGTGCAACGTTTGGCCTAATGTCTTCTTCGCCATACCTATTTTCTTAAAATATATGCACTTGTCGACGAATACCACCAATCAGACTTGCAAATAGACTTCTAAATAAGCAATTGAAAGGTTGGACGTCCCGCATTTTGTTTTTTGAAACATTTCTAAATCTCCGACATTTAAAATTCTTGCTGCAGCTGAGATAGGTAAGACCGCATGTTACAGTATAACCGCGGTTGTCTGTCATATAACCGTATGCATGGTACACGATATGACCGCCGTTGGCGGTCTATTACCGGCGACTCTTGCAGTTAATCTGATCCACTGACGAAGAAAAATCAAAAAAATCTAAGACTAAAACACCTCAAATCTGCCCATATTCAAGGTCTTCTTGACACGCGCATGGTATAAAGGAAACAGAATGTTGGATAGAGCGTTAGGTGAAAACGGGGCTGGAATCCAATGACAATATAACCGGGAAATCATTAAAAGGTACGTGAGCATTTTTTCTGTCGATGTCGGGAGAAGATTCCCGGGGATTTAGGATGCCAGTGATTGTGAATATCGGCAGAAATTAGGTACGTTCGGGGGTTTTCTTTGTAGCTAATGAAAATAGATGTTAGCCTTGATGAAATATTCAAAATTCGATATATTTTGACACCAGGACCATGATCGTTGGATACGTCTCTGCACTATTTATTCAACCTTTAATCATGATAAGTTAGAACTCTATTACATAATTCAGTTTGATCATTTCTTAACAGGAAATACATATCCCCTCGCCAAATGTTTATGGCACTGGTCTGATGGAAATAAGAGTTACCTTGTGGTTCTCTTAACCCTTTCTTTGAAAGGCCAGCAGAATTTATAAACCAGGATCCCAATGATGATGGCCAGTAAGACAATTCCTCCTACGATGGCACCTATCATAATCTGTTGCTGTTGGTTCAGTGTACCAGTAACAGACGTCACATCCGGTTGTGTTACTGGAAACATTGCAATAGTAAAATATCAGTTAGACATAAGTAGTTGAGACAATTGATTAATTGTGGTCACGTGACAATTCACCCTTATTACAGATTCGTACACGTTATTACGCACATAATAACAATGCAACTGCATCTTGCAGATATTATTGACTACATTATGTCACGCGATCCTTCATTGCGTTCGAGTAGCATAAAATTTCACCCTGACTTGACTGTTTTATAAATAAGGAAACAGAGAGTCTTCCATGTGTGCATATATAGTATTACGTAACAGGGGAAACTAATGCTAGCTGGTCTACTTACAAACGCAGGTGGGTATCGGAGTAGGTCTCCAATCCACTTGATTTGTTCCTATCCTCGTACATGTTATTGTCTCAGGGCCTATGCGAGTTCTTGAGCTATCGCAAGTTATTGTAAGGGTTGTATTCTCAGCTTCCTGTTGATACTCGCTAAGGATGATTTCATTCAATTCCTCGTCGCTCGAGAACACAACTGGTCTCGTCGTTCGAGTCGATAACCTCGTACAAGTCAATGCCATATTGCGGCTAGTTTGATTGAAACACTGTCCCTTATCCTTTATGTTCACGTTTCGCTAAAATGTAAACAGACATTCGAGATATACCTGTATGCATCTATAGTATAAGAAATAAAGATATGAAATTTATTCATAAATTGTTTGTCAAAAGTGGTATTTCTTTTTTTATAAATTATGTTTGTTTCCTAACGTGTTGGCTCAATACGCGATTGCGCCGTCCAACTGTATATGATCATGATCGAAGTTAAATATTTTTTATTGAAAATCGACTGGGAGTGGTAATAAGGTTTAGTCAAGTGTATGAGTAGAAAAGCAAAAGTTACAAATAGATAATCTATTGCCCAGTTCATGTATAAATCTTTAACAAATAACCTAGTTATCAAAATTGACACAATCACACGAACTATTACACGAGCTAAGGCAGTTGCATATTTTTCATATCCCTAAATGCTCAGAGTTGTAATTTCGTTTTTCGAGTCCTATTCTCTTTTGAATGCTCTTCTACCAGAAACATCGAACTCTCAATATAAGTTTAAGGCATTTACATATTTTTCTGAATAAACAAAGTATAAACGTTTTCTGTCTCGTCATTAGAGAAGATACAAGATCATTGTAATATTATCAAAATACTATCAGAGTAATATCCTCTCGCATTTTATATAATCAACTGTTTATTTATTTCTCTCTTTTGATATGTTCGGCAAGAGTCATACAGGGTGACCAGAAAAAGAGACCAAAAAGATCTTGATTAATTTTGCTAATAATGATGATTTTGTTTTAATTTTTTCTGGTGAATATAGCTGATTCAATCGAAAATTTTGTAGAAATGTCATCTTAGCCGATATGCAATGGCATTGAAAAAACAAGTTTTGTGGAATTGATCGACCCATTTCGTACCCAGGTTCAGGACCAAATCAACAATAGTTATACATGCAATTCAGATGTCATGATTATCCAAGAAAATATGTCATATTCAAATGGGATACAAAGTTTACGACTCATAGGACACTTGACAGACTCAACAGAAAAGATACAGGTTGTGAAACGTCACCATAGAAGATTTGATTGTGCTGTATACGGTGCAGTGCTTTTAACAAAATGGCGCCACTCCCCATATACATAAATGACTCACGATAGATTCACTGAATCAACACTTTGGCAAGAGAGGTCAAAAGCTGTTAGTCAGATAACCCGTCATCTCTACATAGCCAAGACTTGAATCCTTATGATTTCTTCTTGTGCAGCTATTTGAAAGACATTATCTACACAAATTAATGACCTAAATAAGGCAATCACTACCAAATGTAAAGCCATAACAAGGGATGAATATGCACGGGCAATTTTTCCTGACAAATCCAGCTCTGCCTTTGACTGAATGGTGCCACTTGGACTTGGAGAATGCTATGTAAATGGTGACAGCTCCCGATTCATTCTACTAATGTTATTGAAACATACAGGAACTTTTCCTATAACTGTCCTGATGCGTGCAGAATTTGATTGATGTGTCTTGTCTATTTTAGTAGGTATTGGCTCAGGTCACCCTGTGTACACGATACAGTAAGATCATTGACTTGATTGACAAAGTCAGAACCTGCTGATGGATTAACGAGTCCATCATTTTAATATTATGTGCTACCTTTCGTTAATAGACGTCTGAACCTGGAGAATTCGTGATCAAGGAGTTTTCAAAGTGTGTAAAATTTATTCGGGCGGTTCCTTTAATTGGCCTATAAAGTATGAATGATAAAAATGTGCCCGTAAATTGAAAATTGAATGCTTATTCATATATTTCAATGAATGTACAGTACAAAGAACAAAGAAAGTGAATGAACTTCCCCTCACTTTAGAAACGAAAAAGACGTTTAACTGCTTTCACGAGGTACCAGGACTGAGGTACGCTCGATACACTATTGGTAATTGGTAATGTAACTATTATTAAACTATTTTCTGAAACTATAAGCCTTCAGTAGGGGAGGTCATCCGTGCCTTTGTAACGTATACATTTAGGCACCCAGTTATGAATCTGAGCCTACAATTCATGTTTGTCATTAATTTGATGGAGAAACATACAGAAATAATCTAAGGAACCATTGGATGATTTGATACTTAATGCAAGAGAATGTTTAACATCGTTGGATCTGTCCCCTCCCCTTATTCCCTCCCCAACTTATAACCACATTGTTAGGTCTGTTATCAGGACATTAGTACTAATTTGAATACTTAGTCTACGATGGGTGGAGATAATATTGATTACCTCATTAGCGGGCAAATCAAAAGTTCACTATGTTGCCCTTTGAAATAAGGATACGAATATAACTAGAACAGTTATCTTCCTATCCGACTTTTACGAAAGTAGGGAGTTTAAGCTTGCAATGTTTTTCCAACCTAACGTGAACGGAAAATGTTTAAGCGATGCATTTGTATTGGCGATTGGTCATACGTATAGGTTGGCGTTTCGATTTTATATGCCAGCTTAAACTCCCTATTCTAGCACTGTAAGGCGAAATATAAATTTATCAGATTTGTCAATCACATATCCTTGCACTGAGAGGAATATATTATTTGCCATGATGCGAGAAATCTCTGAAACGAAGTGGAAGAAAATTAACTTTGTTTTACTAAAATGTTAAGATGTTTAAAATTGACTTACCTATATGTTGTTTTACGAGTTCTCGATAAGGTCAATTTACATTTTCAGCGTCTGACCGTTGTACTTTCCTTAAGAAATTATTCTCTCGTAACAACTCTATGTAATTGTGTTTTTTAAGTTTCACCTATATATGTATACAATTTATTTTAAACTGGGTTTGAACTTTCGACACACCTACTATAGATGTATACTATTTATTCATATTCAAGTTTTTTTCATCATGAATCACCTTAACATGCAGGATCTTTTATTACTAGAATTCTTTAAGTGAACGACATCCTTTCAATAATATTGTTTGTACATTTTTGTATGGAATCGGTACGCGATACTCCCAATAATGTTCAAACATTTTACGTTAATAAATATGGAAATTAAAACCTTTTTACAACAATTAAAAGAATGTTTTCAAAGGTCGGATGGACCTATCTTTAAATGCATTTTGATTGTGGCCATTAAAACATGAATGCATTTCATGGTTTATTAATAAGTTTTGAACTGGTCGTCAGCAAATGTATGTTAAAGAGTATATACAGGGTGGTCCAAAAAAAATTGGAACATTTGATAATTGAACTCAAAATCGTTATTTTTTCTCTAAAATGCACCAAAATTTCACTGAGTATTGTTCAATCACTTATTTATCTGATGTAAAGTTTATAGGTGCAAACAACAAAGTTAATGCATTAAACTAGAGAATGTTTGATATGACCCCATTTCTCCTGAATTACAAGTTGAAGCCTGGGACTCAGTTTTGAAATGATTCATTCACCTTGCTGTTCGTTTGATTTTGTCCAAGCCGTCTTGATCAAAATTCAGCTTGAACAAACTACTTTTATGTTTGCCTTAGAAGATCAAATATATGAACATATTCAACATTTTTTTACCTAAATTGATGGGTATCAATCATATTTTGATGGCTATTGTTGGATATATTACTGATTGAATATTCTCCAGAAAGAGGCCAGGGCAGTCTGTTTTGACTGGTAAATGAACCCCCTCCCCTTTCTTGTTCTAATATGAATAATATCCATTGAATATATCAATATATGTATATCAATATCATTAAGGAGTTTCCCAGAACACAAATGATATACATGTATTATATTATGTGTGCTTAGAGGTGGTCTTTAATAAAGCCTTGTAAATAACTAGTCAGTTTCCCCTCTTCTGAAAAGTGGAAACAATGATTTTGTCAGTTTAGTAGCTGTATGGGTTATGCAATCACTCACCTCTGACATGTTCTTTCTTTCCTACTCTTAAATAAGAATAATGATTTGGGGTATTCTTAAGTTGACAATAACACAATAGTTTTCCAGTAAACCATAGATGTTAATATCTCATTTCATCTTAATATGATTTTATAAAATGTGTATAGCAATCAAAATGTTCATTAAAGCTTTGAAATAAAGAATACTTGAAAAAGTAGCTGCGAAATTGTCAAGTGTATATTTAAGAAAAGGGGGTCATATCAAACATTGACTAGTTTAATGCATTAAATTTGTGGTTCGCACCTATAAACTTTACATCAGAGGGATAAGTGACTGAACTATGCTCAGTGAAATTTTGGTGCATTTTAGAGGAAAAATAATGGTTTTGTGTTCAATTAACAAATGTTCCAATTTTTTTTGGACCACCCTGTAGATTAACGACGTTAAATTCAAATGAAGAAAAGTCATTCGACACAACATATGTGAACCTTATTGGATTTTTACTGGCTCATAACTAGTTAAATTCTGGAACCTTTTCATATGGCGCTTTCATATAATAGTGGAAATGATTTTCTCGATTTAAAAATAATCTAAAACAAATTTACACTCCTCTCAACAAGTTTGGTTCAAATTCTTATTAACGATAAAACGAGGATTTGGTGCTCATACATTAAATGCCATGGAGTGCGGTATCGTACTGCTTTATTCATTCGCGCTTTATCAATATCTACTATTAGCTGATCCATGTACAGCAATACTTGTTTCAATGATATTACTAGAAATAATATGATATCATACTATATGTTATCCTTTTAACCTTCCATTTTTTAAATATTTGAAAGAAATACAATGCAAATAAATAATATGTACATTACAAAAAACAACAAATATACAACATTCTTGGACATTGTGAGAAAGATATGTCAATATTTCGTGTAAGCTCATTCAATTTAGATTCATACATAACCAGATATTATACAGTACAAATATATCAAATTCTAGCCAACCAGAACACAGTCTTTCAGGTAATCTTAAAAGTACATTCACACATAGCAAGGCAAGGTGTGTCCGATTCCAGCCAATCCAAACACAGTATTTCAGCAGTGTATGAAATAATCAATATAACGCATTTGCTTTGTATGGTTGTCAAAGTGAGGAGATTTAAATTGATGCTTTGCCAATCCATGACCTTTTCAAAAAGTTTCATTGAAAATATGTTCTTTTAATGATTTTGTATCTTTAAGGTGATTTTGTAGATACTATTTTGCAATGTGTGAAAAGAATTTAAGCCCAAGACTCAAAGCATTGTAGCTGCTATTCCACTCATTGTTTCCTAAACTTTGCATTCCAGCTGCGCTGTCATGCAAAGATTTGGAAACAACACATTCATGGTATGATTCAGCAAACAGCAATGCACTGAGTCCAATAAACCAATAATGGCTATTAATGAAATTAAAAGCCAATTAAACCCATAATGGCATTTTATATTCTATTTTTAGATTTCATCAATTTCATAATTTCAAGTTGGCTGTCCAAAGTTGAACGTGGGAACACCTTGATTTCTAGGAAGATGCCTCGAGTCCTCTATATGACATTCTCGGATGCTCTCGATTCAAAACAAAGGATAATCACTTAATTATCACACACTTTTTATTTTCAAACATATATCGGCCATTACTATGAGTATTAGTTTTCGGGCAATGTACACAAAATATGATGACTACTTCTACGGGTAGTATCCATGATTAAGCGTTTTAATAATTATATAATACTGAACGGTGAATACGATCGTTACTTGAATATTGTCAGTCCATTATATTGTTTATAATAGTTCGAATGATATATTATGATATATATGCCATCAAGGGCATTCAATTTTGTTCACGTTATGCATCTAGCATATCAGTGTATGAAGTAGCGCAGCAAATATAAGTGTGGTAAAGGCAACAGAAACATCAGTTCCTGCTCCCGGTTGACCAGTGGTCCAAGTAGGCCGACTAACTCCATTTTCCTTCTCCAGATCCTTGGCTCGTTCTGCATCGCACGACTCGAAACCTCTCCAAACGTAATCCATACCCCTGTTGTCTTTGAGGAACTCCTTATAAACATCAATGACGTATTTATCTGATAGACATCCATCAGTACGATAAATTTCGTCGACCACATCTTTGCATTTTGGAGTACACTTTCCATCCACTTCCATATCACAATTTGGAACAATTATGTTGCTAAGATTCCTCACTCCCTCGCCAAATAGATATCCCATGTGGTCGGGACATGTTTTACTCAAACTGGCTGCACAATCACTTGCGTTACCTATTTGAATGAGATCGCTCATATTCTTTATTTCAGGGTAATACACGACGAAGCCATAACACATTTCATCAGATGTTGCATCGCCGAATCTAGTTGTTGTGTTCTTCGATGTGGAATCAAATTCGCAACTCATGAAAAGTTCATCCCCAGGTAGGAATTCGACAGGTGGCTCAAATCTAAAGCATAAATATGATCAATTTTAATTTAATCATACTATAGTTTAATGCATGCTATGGCTGGTGCTGTTTTCGCATCGTGCATTGAATGCCTCCGTGCTTTTCAAATCTAAAATCGAGGCCCTTATGTAAAATGATATTAAAACTCCATGTCTGCAGCCATACTTATTGTTGCTATGATATAAATATATAAACGCCATTCTCAACCCCAATGTCTGCAGGGGGAGGGGTAGATTGACCACCTAGGTTATTTTATTTTGCTCGAGTCAGAGATAAGTCACTTTCTGGCGTAAAAATGACTTGGCGATTGAGAGTAGCGGGGCAGAGTTATGATAGTTGGAAGTTAAAATATAAGACATTGATAGTTACTTTGCTTAAATCAAAACTGTAGTAAATGCAAAGAATGCAAAGATAACCATTTAGCATATTGAATTCTCTTTCCAATATGCTTAATCTCATGAAAATCGAGCCACTATCGTCGTCATTTTCAACAAAATTGTTCCGCTTCAAATTGAAACTAGTCTCGTGAAATTCACTGGTTTCTGTTTCTACAGAACGTAAATATCAGTGGTGAATCTGATGACAATGATACATAATACCAAAAGCAACCTACTTGTGTGTAACTGGACTATCGTAGTCATACACTTCATCTACTCCAAAATTGTTTAACTTTTTTCCATCCCTAAAATGTTCCAATGACGCCGCCTTTCCTATAAAACATTATACAAAGTGTTCATTTTCTTGGGTTCATTTCAGAACAAGGATTTACTAAATGAACACACCTTATATAGACAATGTCGTACCATAACAGGGATGTTACTTTTATTTTAGAAATGACATATCTGTCCTAGCAGATTATTAGTTAAATGTACTATACTGAAAAATCATTGCTGAAATCTTCAAAGAATGAGTTCATCTTTTTGTTGCTAAATGCAGAAATATTTTCATTGGGATCGTGGAAATCAGTTGTTAATTTTTTTTTGATTTTTTGCCCCATTCCTTGAAAACCAAGAACGTGAACCGCGTCCGTCTCAGCAGTTGTCCAGATATCTCTGTGTACATGCTTCAAATTATCTTGACTTAATATTAAATACATGATCTTTAAAAATGTTAACAGGTAAAATATTTCATTGTGACTAGCTCTTAAAGGTGCAATAATTAGTGCAGAGGGGCCATTCAACGATCATGGACCAGTGTCAAAATATATTTAAGTTTTGATATTTCATCAAGACTAACATCTATTTTTATTATCTACAAAGAAACCCCCTAGATAAACATTATTTTAGCTCATATTCCTCTTGAAACATGGTGGATCTTAAAAATATAAAAGTGGAAGTCCCCTTTTTGAAGCTTTGAACTGAATTTATACTTCTTAATGCTGAAATTGATCATTTATCCATATATTTTAAGAAAATAGGTATGTCAAAGAAGATGTTAAACCAAATGTTGCCTTGATAGCTCAGAAAAAATGAAAAAACTTTCCTATTTTCTCTACAGTCCTTATTGCCCCTTTAACCAAACCAGTCTAACTAAGTAAATTCCCGGATATATTTGTATTTACCTAGATAATGCATATGGAGAAGAGTCTCTAAAACATAGACGGGCTTTTTCATATACTCCTTGGTGCAAATAGACGCCGCTCCTCCTGATACCCGAACACTTGGCAGTCCGGGAGGGATCACAATGGAACGTTGCCCTGTCATCACATAACCGGCGTCGTACGGTCGTAGATTAGGCGTGTAGTACAATTCCATACCAGAGCTGTCGACGTAGTCTGATCGCAATTCTGGATTATTCCAATGCATCTAAAATAGTTTTAAATATAGTTTAGTTTAATATAATTTATTTTTGTGTCACAAGCAATAAAATTTACATAAAAATCACATTTTTTAAAACATTGCTCCCAGCCGATATCGTAACCTGCGTGCATTGATAACTAAAGAAATTGGCGGGTCAGTTAGTAGAACTGCTTCCGACGATTCAATTTTTTGTCATTTTGGCACTCATGCAAGCATTTAAGGTCGACCCATCTATTATCATGTGTGTCTATGACAAATGCAACCTGCATGTATAGATACTTAAACATACCTGTAGAACTGCAGTTTTGTATCCATTTTTTCCTATTCTAAATGCCGCTTTATCAGAACCGCATTCACCTTGGTAACCGAGTGCCCATTTCGATATTAATTTAGTGCACCCAGTAGACATTCCACAAAGCCTTGGGGTACGAAATTTCGTGCGCACGTCATTTTCTCCACCCGGTAGTTCATCTGGAAATAAAGTACAGCCTGTAACAGTCCTAAACACAGTCCAATATTCAACTCGAAACTCCTTTACTATTCCACCGATGTATATGATCAGGGTCTTGTTGAGAAAGAATGCGATCCCTATATCATTTACATAATAGATCTTTACTTCTAGATCTGTAATTGCCTGAAAATGTAATTTTGGATGAATGGACAATTAGATTCATAAAAAGCATTCTTTGTTGATGTGCGTTTTCCAGTAAGAACTTCAAATGTTTACCTTCAGCGCATGCGTAAAGCAGCATATGATGCATGACGTATGTGTTATTAATTATGGGTTTCATGGCAATCATGTGGTAGTCGCCGTCCTCGGGTAGGGGTACAGTAAGGCACATGTAGTTGGTTTCCGCTGCAGGGACTGGCGTGGGTGGGAATCGTATGGTCGCGTTTCTCACATCCTCTATTCGATAAAACAATCACAGTTATGATATGTATTTGAAACATTTATTCCCAGTCCTTAATTTATCTAATCACTTCATTCAAATTAGCTACAAGCCTTTGTGAGTTCCTCTCCCAACTACAAACCTCCCTGGTGTGGTGTTGTGCTGGTGAAGTTGATAGGGGAGAGGGGGAGGGGTTCACACACTGTGCCCCCCCCCCCCCCCCCATTTAACGTGTACGTTGCGTAACAGTGTATTGTTAACCACGTCACACCACTATAAGTTCTTGAATGAATCAACATTAATACTGTACATAAGGTTAATATCAACTTACGATAAAACAATTTTATCATGTATTAAGATAATATATTCTTTGAGTAACCTACATCATTGTCAATATGTAGGGATATTTCAAGATCTTGAACTATGCCCTATAATCCAAGAGATTGTTCTATTAATATCCACTCTTATTATCAAATCATACTGAAGTAACACTCGGGCATTACACTTTATTATTTTGCCCACACATTTTACATAACAAATCATTATATAATATCCACTCCACTCAAAGAGATTGGCAACTGGACGTTCCCTCTTGGAGCACAATGTCCTAAGGGAAAAAGGAAATATTTGTAAAAAAACAGATGGAGAGCAGAAAATTAAAGCAAAATGAAAACACTACGTTAGTGCTTACCAGAAAGTGATCAAACTTAAACCATTAGATAAATGATATTTCCCTATATACGTTAAATGACCGCTATCGAGGCGATTGGACAGATTTCAGAGATAGTGGCCATGGTGCGTACCATACATGTATCTTAAAAGCATTGTACCAGCCAGTGAGCTGACACCAGTGTTATATAGATTCTCAAAATGGGGCATTTTCATTCTAGAGTGGTCTATATCACTTACTTGTTGCGTCCAGTGTAGGGCATTTGAATTCAGAGGCGTCACAAAACTCCCATTGGTTTTGTGCCTGACATTTTGGGGAATTCCAAGGATCACAAACTCCTATGAAGCAATCAAATAGGAGTCATTTTAATGAGGTTTAAGAAACCAATATCAATATCCGAACATTTCGTTCAGTGATCGCACTGAACGAACTTGCACGGAGGAAGAACTACGTGCAGCTTGCGTTTTAGATAGGTGATATAAAGATGTGAGACAACGTAAATTGTAATTAATCTTTGTGAGAATGTCTATAGATTTTGCCTTTTGATCGGGGACATTTAAGTAGTATATACATCCATATTACAGTCAATTAAGATATTCTGAAGAAATATCGTCATGGCCTTTTAGTATTTCCATTTTTGTGATTTGGTGATTGAAATTGAGTCCATTGCTTAATAAGGTGACCGCGACAGACATACCTGGATGTGATAGTTTTTTTGTATCTGTAATTGCAGGAGTCTGCCCTTCCATCCAGACACAGTTTGGGTCACCAAGCTCCTCTCCGTTAGTTTTCCCATCCTTGTCTGAGTCTGCCTTACACAACGCTTCAGTCCACACCTTTAAAGTTGCAACGTGTGTTAAATCAATCTTGGCAATTCCGAGAATTATTAAGAAGGAGTGATTCAATTTTAACAAACTTTTTTCCACGATACAGCTGTCTGTATGATGAAATATATGAAATAGTAATTGCCAACTTAAAGTTGAATGAATTATACACTTTTACTTGAATATTTTTTGTCACCAGCGTCTCACTTAAACATGTGATGTGGCATGAGAAAAAAACATAATTTGCAAAATGTTCCTGAACTGATACGGCCTGATGATCGCCAAGCTAATAGCCCTGATGCAAACCCCAGTGAGTATAGGGTATGGAAAGGTCTCCAGGAGATTGTATGAAGGCACCCGATCTAGAAAATTGCTCAACTAAAGCTGGCAATTAAGACAGGTTGAAAAGAACTTAGCTAACATTTCATTGATACTGCTATATCAGCAAGGCAACTAAAACTAAAATACATCATCGATTAGGGTGGCGGTCCAATTGAACTCCCCTTTTAGATTAAATATAATCCAAGTTGAAGGACTTGTTACATTATATTATTACTGAGAACCCCTGGCACTATATAACTGCAAAATTTGGGGTATGTAGGTTGGAAAATAAAAAGTTGTAGTGTCTTGAAAAAAGTGGCGTTTTTGGCCCACCCTGTATATATCAGAAGAATTAATTATTCAAGAATCAGAAATAAAACTTAATATAGAAAATGATAACATCTATCAATAAAACAAGCTTGCATATCCCAACAAACGAACAAACGTACAAAATTGAAGAAAAATAATTCCATAAAGAACCCCAGTCTATTCAATTTTAGACAAAACATTGTCCTGATGATAAAAAGCGAAATGACCCATAGCAAATAATACTGATGAACTACCTTTCCATTGGCGTTAAAATCGAGACCGAATGCATTTCTTTCTCCTCCACCATTAGCGTTCTTATGTCCTACACCTTGCCATATATAGTTCGATTTACATGGATGGGGAACATTATCTCCATTTGGAATTTTTCCTTGTAAAAATTTGTATGCTTCTAGATGTGTTATTGAAAGTGTTACGATAATACAAAATGATGCAATTCCTGACGTAAGCTCCATCTTAAAGCTCTCGACGTCGTCTCCGTCGTTCGTGTGGTAATGGGGTTGAGCGAGAAAATTCTAATAGATATAGGACTATAGCTACCATGACAATAAATAAATAAATAAACAAAATGAATCAGTTTATCACATGGTTTAATTTTAAGTTTAAAGAGCCTCGTTATCTGTGTAAGAACCACATAGACGTCAAATGCCTCGGCTTATCTCATTTATGTATACTACATTATCTTTATTCAGAGTTATCACTTTTCACATACGTACTTTTACTTGCATTACGTTTACATAATTGTACTTTAGGAAAACACGAGAAGCAAAACGAGGTGAACAAAGAAAATAGGATAGGGTTTACAATCGCACGCTCTGGTACTATATTGTGATCGGGCTTTCCGTTTTTTGACCATATCAACATAGGCATAGCAAGGCAACTACATCACCAACATTTTTCGGTAATATACTGTATTCATAGACGTTTTTCAACTGTTTGAAATAAAGTGAAAACGTAGGTATTTACCTCCTTTAGCCTCAATTTGCCTCGCTTATTTTTCGATCTTTTTGCCTCACCTAACTTATTACAAAAATGAAATCAATCAGAATTTTTTTTAAAGATGTTTCTCGAGGTTCGATTCTAGGAGATTAGCTATTTTTCTATTTATTTAATGATATGCGTATCACGCTGCTTATGTAGCCCCCAATCTGAAATTCATCATGCTCACGTGAGATAGACTGACATTCTCACATACGACACATATTAAACAAATACTGGATGATCAGGAGCTGGATATGGCAGAATACCTATTCGAGAAAAAATATTCGGCGAGGCGGCAGCCGAGCACAATATTTTTTCGAGGATAGGTATTCTGACCATATCCAGCTCCTGATCATCCAGTATTTGTTTTATTATGCACCTCCCAATCAAAGTTAAGTGGAGTACTTACAGTTTAGTTGACATTATTTTGACTTTTTTTTTTCAAAACTCAGACGACTTCCGGCCAGTTTATTCGCTACACTGGACTAAAATATTTGCCCTGAGAATTTAGTTTTTATTTATTCGAGACGTTCTTGCAGAATTATTATGTAATTTTTGAATGATAAGGGTAATTGTGATTGATTAAGTGCATTTTTTCTTCTATTTTCCGCCAGTTTCAGATGTAAGCTTTAAGTAGTACTCCAGTTAGATTCATTCATCTGTTTTCCTTCATTGTAATGTGACTCCACTTTTTAATTTTTTAAAACTCTGAAGTGGGAATGTTGCAAAAACATTGAAAAAAATATCCGACCCTTTTTCTCGAAAGGGTCAGATATTAAACAAATATCCGGCAGTTTTCAGAAAAGAGCAGAGTATTGCCAAATTACAAGCAACTAAGAACCAATCAGATTTGAGTATTTTAATGAGGTGCATAATAAATACAATTACAAATACGTTTTCATGAAAACTTTTCTGTAACATTTTCAATCGGACGTTTTACACCAACGGTTAGCAATCGTCGACTTGTTTTATTTGATATTGTGTACGGGTAGTACTGTGGCCCGTTTGAACTTTTTGATAACGGAGACAAATTTCTACCTGTTTATATTTTAGGGGGTCTGATCATTGTCCTTAATGCAATGTATATCAATAATACACGCCCATGATCATAACATGTATTAACATTTTAAGACTTAATATTAATGTTTGATGCTGAGAACTTCAATTGTTACATTCACAAAATTTCAGCTGAATTGAAGAATATTAAGAAGGTTAGAGCATATAGTGCATTACTTCTGGGACAACCCTCGTATTTGAATCTTGGGGCCAATTATTGCGTATTTGTATAATTATCAAATAGTTCCTATATTATACTGTTTGAATAGACATGCACCTCTCATGAATTTTTAAGTAAACCCGACCGTCTCGTACTCCCGAATGCGATATTCTCTAAAAAAGATTACGAGACTTCCTCTGACTTGCAATTTCACAATTACCTCGAAGAGAGACATCTTTTTTCAAACTACTTTCTAAAATCTCTACCTAATAGCAACGAATGAGCCACTGGATTTGTCTATAGTGTGTGTCTAACCTTTCTTATTCAGAAACTGCCAAAGATTTATTTAACCCATTCAGAAATTTGTGCACTCAGTTTCTGTATTCTGGTATCTCCAGCACCCTGTATGTTATTGATTTTGTGTTAATTTTACGAACAATGGGTGAATCATTTTCTGCAAAGTTTATGACACAGACAGTGTCTTTGGTATACCCTGCGCGCAGAGTTAAGTTATAAACTACCGAAGACGAAGCTCTCTCTCTTAAGAAGTGAAGTCGAACGAATGCAAATGGTATCGTTGGTCTATATCATATATGAAATAGACTCAGAATATTCAACTGTGTATTGTATACGATGTATCATTCCTCAGCAATCTGAGATTTCCAATGATTTATTTCATGATAAGTCCTCTCTTAAATAATCGAAACTGTATCAAATCTTAAAGCGACTTGTGTATTGCCGCACCCTGTATAAATATGTATGATATACTGTTCTAAACAACGATGTATCAACAAGGTTTGATTCTGCTAATATTGCAGAGAAGAATTGAATTCTTCATAGATGTAAACAAAAATGGGATAATTGGAATAAACTCTGATTCTGATTTAATCCTTTTAATTAACAATATTTTTGTTTGGGTCATGAGCCTTTTCCTATATTAGTTTTATGGCTTATGGCGATTACTTGTCAGGTTTATGGGTTTAATGGGACAAATGACATCCGTATGAATGGACAGTCTATTTACTGTTCTAGTTTACTACTTACACCATCAGTCAGGTTTACCTGATGAAGATGTATGAATACATCGAAAATTCATAAATCTCAACATTTTGGTTTGTTTTTTAACACTTATTAACATATTACATCAATCTGGTGTATATCAACCATTCAATAAGTAAGAACTAATCAGGTGATGTCTAATGACAAATTGGGATCAGCTCAATAACAATAACTTGAAGCAGGTGTGGATCAGTTTATCAAATATAAATCCTGCTCAAGTGGACGATTGTTGGATTTGTATCACAACCTGTGGACTGTGGATTTCTATTCGAAATGACTGGACATTGTGTACACTTGTGCTAGTGGATGGTGGACACAGTATTTACGTACCAATACGAGACTTCGCACATACGGGCAAGTCCAGGGATGTACTTCCTGTGAACAAATCTTCCAAATGGTCATATTATTTACACTATAACCGATAAAATCATTAAACCAATTTGGAATTGAAGACATTAAACATTTTCTGCTCGATGCATCTGATTGTATCTGAGTATAAATGTATATTTTCAACAATGTAATTCCCGTACAGGCCGCATATACCTTGACTGTAAATGTGTGGGGACTGAAATCAAAACTGTTTATTCTTCAGCGAAAATATCAAATAAATAGTGTTTATATTTAAGGATAAACCATTAAGATTGTTGTTGATTTGAGGATAATCCCCAAATTTTGTGAGATGCAAGAGAGGTTTAACATAAGTCCCATGAGGAACCACGTGACCTACCTGTATATTGGTCTATTAACACGAGAGGAAGTAAATAAGGGAAGTAAATAAGGGTGTGTATGTGAATTTGCTACGGACTGCCCTTGTAAAACATCTTATTCATACATATACACGAACTGCAGTAGGATTTACCGTTTTACGTTAAAGTATATCGACCGCTCTATTTACAGTATTTTATTTTAAGCCTCATATGAATTTCAAGTTTTAAGTGTTCGGCTACTAGATCGTATCAATATTCTACACGCTCGTGTTGTCAGGACATACTGCTTCTTTGGTATGCTACATAATTCGATGGATTACAACAATTATAATCAACTATGACATCATATGACAATTAATCAAGAAGAGGAAATAGTTATTATCAAGCGGACTATCTAATCTTGATCATCATTGAACAGATTGTAATAAAATCGGATATTGTACAACAAAATAATCCAAAATAATGGGTGAGTAATTGAAACTAGTCATTTGTGAAAATATCTCTTTGTTAACTTGCTAGAATATTCATTTTGATATGATTTGCTCTGTCTGGTAGAATGCTACACTATACTGATCAAATGAATACAAATATTACAATTGTTATACCAAAAGGTATACTAACCAATGCCAGATTCATGTTTTATATGCTCTTGAAAGTTTATGAACTCATGACATATACATGTTCAATTGTTAAACCTAATTTGAATTTGAATTTAAACCTAATAACTCTGCTAAAAAGAAATTTACTGGTCATTACCTGTCATTGCCACTCTCTCTGTTTTAATTAAAACTTTTATTTCAGATCAAGGGCGCTTTTTATTACAGAGTACTTACGACAATGGGCTTGTTGTACATTGAATTACTTTTAATCCAAATTATTTTTCTTTTAGCTTACCAACGACAACATAGAAAAGAGGAGCCCATCATTATAGTAAATAGTATAGTTAGCTCTTATAATTTATTACTCTCATTTTGTTGTTGAATGATACAAATGAAGTTGCATTAAAACAATTTTGGATAAATCCTATGTCATACTGGATAAACCTCAAGTCATGAAATATCCCAGGGTATGATGGATAAATTCTAGTCCATCAGTTCGATAGATTGCAAGTCATGTTGGATAACTCCTTTGTCATTCAAGAACTCAAGGTCATTTAGGATACATCCCATGTCACTCTGCCAAAATCAAATGTCATTTTATATAGATCACCGTTCAAGGTTCAATGGTCAATAGAAGATGCTGAACTTCCAATGGTTGATCAATAGAAAGTGCTGAACTTCCAATGGTTGATCAATAGAAGGTGCTGAACTTCCAATGGTTGATCAATAGAAGGTGCTGAACTTCCAATGGTTGATCAATAGAAGGTGCTGAACTTCCAATGGTTGATCAATAGAAGGCGCTGAACTTCCAATGGTTGATCAATAGAAAGTGCTGAACTTCTAATGGTTGATCAATAGAAAGTGCTGAACTTCCAATGGTTGATCAATAGAAGGTGCTGAACTTCCAATGATTGATCAATAGAAGGTGCTGAACTTCCAATGGTTGATCAATAGAAAGTGCTGAACTTCTAATGGTTGATCAATAGAAGGTGCTGAACTTCCAATGGTTGATCAATAGAAGGTGCTGAACTTCCAATGGTTGATCAATAGAAGGTGCTGAACTTCCAATGATTGATCAATAGAAGGTGCTGAACTTCCAATGATTGATCAATAGAAGGTGCTGAACTTCCAATGATTGATCAATAGAAGGTGCTGAACTTCCAATGATTGATCAATAGAAGGTGCTGAACTTCCAATGATTGATCAATAGAAGGTGCTGAACTTCCAATGATTGATCAATAGAAGGTGCTGAACTTCCAATGATTGATCAATAGAAGGTGCTGAACTTCTAATGGTTGATCAATAGAAGGTGCTGAACTTCCAATGATTGATCAATAGAAGGTGCTGAACTTCCAATGGTTGATCAATAGAAAGTGCTGAACTTCTAATGGTTGATCAATAGAAGGTGCTGAACTTCCAATGGTTGATCAATAGAAGGTGCTGAACTTCCAATGGTTGATCAATAGAAAGTGCTGAACTTCCAATGATTGATCAATAGAAGCTATTGAACTTCCAATGGTTGATCAATAGAAGGTGCTGAACTTCCAATGGTTGATCAATAGAAAGTGCTGAACTTCCAATGGTTGACCAATAGAAGGTGCTGAACTTCTAATGGTTGATCAATAGAAGGTGCTGAACTTCCAATGGTTGATCAATAGTAGGTGCTGAACTTCCAATGGTTGATCAATAGTAGGTGCTGAACTTCTAATGGTTGATCAATAGAAGGTGCTGAACTTCCAATGGTTGATCAATAGTAGGTGCTGAACTTCCAATGGTTGATCAATAGAAGGTGCTGAACTTCCAATGGTTGATCAATAGAAAGTGCTGAACTTCCAATGGTTGATTAATAGAAGGTGCTGAACTTCCAATGGTTGATCAATAGTAGGTGCTGAACTTCCAATGGTTGATCAATAGTAGGTGCTGAACTTCTAATGGTTGATCAATAGAAGGTGCTGAACTTCCAATGATTGATCAATAGAAAGTGCTGAACTTCCTATGGTTGATCAATAGAACGTGCTGAACTTCCTATGGTTGATCAATAGGAGGTGCTGCACTTCCAATGGTTGATCAATAGAAAGTGCTGAACTTCCAATGGTTGATCAATAGAAGGTGCTGAACTTCCAATGATTGATCAATAGAAGCTATTGAACTTCCAATGGTTGATCAATAGAAGGTGCTGAACTTCTAATGGTTGATCAATAGAAGGTGCTGAACTTCCAATGATTGATCAATAGAAGGTGCTGAACTTCCAATGGTTGATCAATAGAAAGTGCTGAACTTCCAATGGTTGATCAATAGAAAGTGCTGAACTTCCAATGGTTGATCAATAGAAGGTGCTGAACTTCCAATGGTTGATCAATAGAAAGTGCTGAACTTCCAATGGTTGACCAATAGAAGGTGCTGAACTTCTAATGGTTGATCAATAGAAGGTGCTGAACTTCCAATGGTTGATCAATAGAAAGTGCTGAACTTCTAATGGTTGACCAATAGAAGGTGCTGAACTTCCAATGGTTGATCAATAGTAGGTGCTGAACTTCTAATGGTTGATCAATAGAACGTGCTGAACTTCCAATGGTTGATAAATAGTAGGTGCTGAACTTCCAATGATTGATCAATAGAAGCTATTGAACTTCCAATGGTTGATCAATAGAAGGTGCTGAACTTCCAATGGTTGATCAATAGAAAGTGCTGAACTTCCAATGGTTGACCAATAGAAGGTGCTGAACTTCTAATGGTTGATCAATAGAAGGTGCTGAACTTCCAATGGTTGATCAATAGTAGGTGCTGAACTTCCAATGGTTGATCAATAGAACGTGCTGAACTTCCTATGGTTGATCAATAGAACGTGCTGAACTTCCTATGGTTGATCAATAGGAGGTGCTGAACTTCCAATGGTTGATCAATAGAAGGTGCTGCACTTCCAATGGTTGATTAATAGAAGGTGCTGCACTTCCAATGGTTGATCAATAGAAGGTGCTGAACTTCCAATGGTTGATCAATAGAAAGTGCTGAACTTCCAATGGTTGACCAATAGAAGGTGCTGAACTTCTAATGGTTGATCAATAGAAGGTGCTGCACTTCCAATGGTTGATTAATAGAAGGTGCTGCACTTCCAATGGTTGATCAATAGAAGGTGCTGAACTTCCAATGGTTGATCAATAGAAAGTGCTGAACTTCCAATGGTTGACCAATAGAAGGTGCTGAACTTCTAATGGTTGATCAATAGAAGGTGCTGCACTTCCAATGGTTGATCAATAGTAGGTGCTGAACTTCGAATGGTTGATCAATAGTAGGTGCTGAACTTCCAATGGTTGATCAATAGAAGATGCTGAACTTCCAATGGTTGATCAATAGAAGATGCTGAACTTCGAATGGTTGATCAATAGAAGGTGCTGAACTTCTAATGGTTGATCAATAGAAGGTGCTGAACTTCCAATGGTTGATCAATAGAAGATGCTGAACTTCCAATGGTTGATCAATAGAAGATGCTGAACTTCGAATGGTTGATCAATAGAAGATGCTGAACTTCCAATGGTTGATCAATAGAAGATGCTGAACTTCCAATGGTTGATCAATAGAAGATGCTGAACTTCGAATGGTTGATCAATAGAAGGTGCTGAACTTCTAATGGTTGATCAATAGAAGATGCTGAACTTCCAATGGTTGATCAATAGAAAGTGCTGAACTTCCAATGGTTGATCAATAGAAGCTATTGAACTTCCAGTGGTTGATCAATAGAAAGTGCTGAACTTCCAATGGTTGATCAATAAAAGAGCTGAACTTCCAATGGTTGATCAATAGAAGCTATTGAACTTCCAGTGGTTGATCAATAGAAAGTGCTGAACTTCTAATGGTTGATCAATAGAAAGTGCTGAACTTCTAATGGTTGATCAATAGAAGGCGCTGAACTTCTAATGGTTGATCAATAGAAGGTGCTAAACTTCTAATGGTTGATCAATAGAAGGTGCTGAACTTCTAATGGTTGATCAATAGAAGGCGCTGAACTTCTAATGGTTGATCAATAGAAGGTGCTAAACTTCTAATGGTTGATCAATAGAAGGCGCTGAACTTCTAATGGTTGATCAATAGAAGGTGCTAAACTTCCAATGGTTGATCAATAGAAGCTATTGAACTACCAATGGTTGATCAATAGAACGTGCTGAACTTCTAATGGTTGACCAATAGAAAGTGCTGAACTTCTAATGGTTGATCAATAGAAGGTGCTGAACTTCTAATGGTTGATCAATAGAAGGTGCTGAACTTCTAATGGTTGATCAATAGAAGGTGCTGAACTTCTAATGGTTAATCAATAGAAGGTGCTGAATTTCTAATGGTTGATCAATAGAAAGTGCTGAACTTCTAATGGTTGATCAATAGAAGGTGCTGAACTTCTAATGGTTGATCAATAGAACGTGCTGAACTTCTAATGGTTGACCAATAGAAAGTGCTGAACTTCTAATGGTTGATCAATAGAAGCTATTGAACTTCCAATGGTTGATCAATAAGAGGTGTTGAACTTCCAATGATTGATCAATAGAAGGTGCTGAACTTCCAATGGTTGATCAATACAAAGTGCTGAACTTCTAATGGTTGATCAATAGAAAGTGCTGAACTTCTAATGGTTGATCAATAGAAGGTGCTGAACTTCTAATGGTTGATCAATAGAACGTGCTGAACTTCTAATGGTTGACCAATAGAAAGTGCTGAACTTCTAATGGTTGATCAATAGAAGCTATTGAACTTCCAATGTTTGATCAATAGTAGGTGCTGAACTTCCAATGATTGATCAATAGAAGCTATTGAACTTCCTATGGTTGATCAATAGAAGGTGCTGAACTTCCTATGATTGATCAATAGAAGCTATTGA